CCTCGCCGCCGCCGCCGCCGCTGCCGCCGCCGAGGATCCCTCCGGCTCGGCCGGCCCGTCGTCTCCCTCGACGTCGAGCGACGCGCGCGGACGCCGGGGGCCCCTGCGACGGGCCCGGCCCCCGAGTGTTCGACCGCGAGCACCCCCGACCCCGTCCAATTTCTTGTCCGTTGTTTCCTCCGTCATTTTCCGCCGTGATCGCGTTGGATGGCGCATTTCAGGAAACGCTCGGCACTGCCGTTGGGGAGGTTCGGAAGAGCTCGGATCAAGGTCGACTCTTCGCCCCGCAACGAGGGTAAACGTTGATTCACGAGGGGCGCGGAGACGCCGGATGTTTGCGCCGGTAATCCACCCTCGGATACTCCGTAAGATCCATTCGGGAATCAATGGGCTCGCCGCGACGACACTGGCACCCCCCTAACGCGCCGAACGTTTCTCCGCAAATACCTGGAGCACCTTTGTCCATCCTGAATCGGCTCGGAATACCGAAATACCTATTATGCCGGTGGAATTTCGATGTCGATGGGCGGCGCGAGCCGAAAATTCGGCTCCGGCCCGGGGAAATATTGCCAATTGGAGGAAAGCCCGTCTACGCTCGACTCCGGGCTAACTCCGGGGTAACGCGGTATCCTGCGATTAATCGCGCGCGCGATGAAGCATTGTGCCTACTAATTAGGCCATGGTTCTTCCTTTTGTCAAATGGTGCCGCACTAACTCGTATTAGGTTGTACGAAACGTTTAGGAATGTCCGTTCTAGCGGGCTGTCATTGGACCGGGACTACCTTGACCAAATCTGACAATTGCCGAACGTCTGTATGGAAGATTGATCGGCAAGGATAAAAAAGATCGTTATCGTAATTATGCGCGGTCGTTCTCGACGACCCATCCGACTACCATGGGTTTGACCGTGTACTTGGTCTTGCGCCCTCGAGTCCTGATTTTGCATAATCGAGTCTTGGTTTTACAAAAAATGCGAGACTAAGACCGATTTTTCTTATTGTTAGCGATGAGTAAATGCAGGACCAAGACTATCGTTGTCTTGGTCCTGGACTTATTGTCAATTTCGGTCTTGATCCTAGGCTTGGTCTTGCACGGTCGAGTTTTGATCTTATCTTCCAAAAAGTGGAAGCGAGCGATGGTCTACGTTGCAACGTATTCTTTGCCACGTATATGCCTAAGATTTGCATAAGTACGGTAAGCATCTTCGGCAATCGGTAGGTAGGTCCCTACAGTACCACGTACAGCATAGGAATGCCTCATATAAACTCTTCCCGTGTGTAAACCTCCGCGGTCAAATCATAGTTCGTGTTTGACTATCGAACTTCTCCCGAGCGTCTTAGATATTCACTGCCATTGGTTTCGGAACGATCGCTGACATCGTCAACTATTCAGAAGGCGGGCAGGTTTGCACATGACTAGGCCAAGATACGCTCTCCGAATCATTCTCTTGGCAAAATCCAGAAGTCACATAGAACGTGTTTCCTCGACTCTCCTGGCAGTTACTGTCTATACCCTAGAATACAAAAGATTGATTTCCACGTTTTGATTTCGCGAACGCATCAGCGGAATGTTAAATTATATTCGCGTTATGCTTAACCCGCTCGGGAAATTGAATGAACGGCAAATCGATTGTCGGACCATCTTATTCGACTTTATCAAATAGCTAAGGCGTCCCTTGATAATATCTCGCTAAGATCTTATTAATGGAAAGTTCGTTGAAAATGAAGTTTCTTTGGTTTGAGAGACTAACCTCACGGGAGACCTTCATTTTTATCTACACATTTGACCACCGAAAGTGACGGTTAAGAGCTCTTCTTTTATACGTACGAATAACCCCGAGATAGAGGGTACGGTTCATCAATCATAAGGGTTGAAAGTATTCACTCGCAGTGGCCTTTGTACCCCGCATAAATTCAACTAAACTTAGTTTACGGTGTAGAGACGATCACCGAGGACCAGAGGTATATGAAAATGTATGAACAAAGGTGCCGGAAATGTTATTGTTCCTTTCCTCTTTGGTTTAAGGCGTCGCTTCGTCGAGCGACCGCGCCAATAAGTCGAACTAATGCACGGTACTTTCTCCCTTTGAGGGAAACGTCGAAAATGCATGACCGAAATGCAGGGAAACTTAACGTTTCGTTTCCGTCCAGGTGAAGACGTTGCCTGAGATTATAGCTGCAATGCGGTAAAGGAACGCGGGCGATTTCTCCTTTTAAAGAAGTGCAAGAGCCAGGGGCTGTTCCATGAAACGTCATGAACATTTTAAAAAGAGGTGTTTTAGGTCACAACGTCGTTCGCGATTGATAAAAGGAAAGAGTCTAATATTTCCTACGTTTCGAGTCCAATTCGGGGCTAATTTAAACCTACGTTAGCAGTAGCCAGGAAAGAACTAACTTCCTTCGGTCTAGTCGAAATGAGAGCGAAGCCAAAGCAAAGCTTCTTTGCGTTCCGTTGGATTTTTAATCGACTCTTTTAATTCATAATCGCATTAAGAAGTCTTTGTCAATCCGCGAGGAAGGAGATATTCGGCTGGATTATTTACGTTCCGCCTTCTCACAACGTCCCGAGTACTTAGTACATTTACGTACACACCACTACGTGCTTGCATTTCAATTTTTCTTCAATCCAGTTTAACCGAGCCGGAATTGAATCTGCATGACAATCGAGAATCGCGCGAAAGAGGTCGGTAGAGCGTGAATAATTGAGCGGGTATATATTCCGTCCCTTAATTCGCTGACGTTATCCGTTTAGCTCCGTGTGCTAACGAATTTAGATTCTCTGCTGAGATTCACGTCCAAGTTCGTTCATTGGCAGGTAATGCGTGGCAGGATGCCGACAATTAGCAAAACCGACACATATATGCTGTCCCAACTCCCATCGGTCGAGCTAGCCATTGCAAAAAAAGAAACCGCGTTTACGGTAATCGCGGCACATATTGCCGGCTACGTTTCGATGAATCGAGGAAACATTTGGACGAGAACCCGCGTTTGGCTAATCATAAGTTGCCCGAGGTTGTCGATAATTGCTATGCCGCGATATCGGCGATGCGGGTGGGACGACAAATCGGCGAATAATAGCCAAACGAATGAAATATTTCCGAACGCGTGTGTAGAGGCGTCTCGAAATTCGAGAGTTCGAAAAAGAAAATTGAAACACTCGAATCTCGCGGTGCATTCCTGATTAGTCGGTGCAACGCGAATACACAATAGCACGCCGGTAAAGTTTCCAGCATGAGCGAGCATGCGAGCGTGCGTGCAGAAGGGCGTTCGGTGCATGCTCGCGAACAACCGTTCAGAGGGGTTACGAATCAACGAACGTACGTGTCAGGAATATCGATGCCCCGTAATCATTGGTTATCGGTATCAATAAGTGCACTCGGAATCAAGATACGGCTTAACGGCGGAATAATACAAAGTTATGTGCGCATTTTTGAACAGTCAGCAATGGAATTAGGATTCGACCCAACATGTCGGAAGGATTCATTGAAATGCCTCGACGTGTAATACGTTCGGCAACCATCTATCGGATTAGACGGATATACCGAAACGTTTCTCTTCCTTCTGGGAAAGCTGCTTTTAGTTTCGCTATCAAGTGGACCCAGAGACACGTATTTGACATTTCGACGAGAGACGTGATGAAAGTGGGCGATAGCGAATACAGGAATTGGAACGCGGATATTTGATTCTCCCTTGACAAGATCGCAAGGTGCACGAAACTGGTTTCCTAAGAATGTCTGAAAAATTGGGTTGCCTCGGAAGACGTGTGACTACTCGAAACGTTTCATTTGATCTCGAAACGTATCTTCGAGGTGAGACGAAATTCCGTAGACGTACGATTAATAAATAATGACTCGACCCCTTTCCTGCCCGTCGTCGAAGCAATAAGATTCTCATCCTCGAAGACGCAATCCTACCGGTATGTCTTCGATCCAGACCGTATGATATGTGGAAACAAATGGTGCCTGTCTGCGAAGCCGAGAGGTTTATGACAATCGTCGGACAGAAGATAAAGCTCTCCGATTTGTCCCTGCCTTCGAGTCGTACGAGCGCGTTATTTGGAAATCTAAACACTTCCGGTTAATTCAATATAGTCTTTCTGGATTCAGTCCTGTTATGCACAGAAAAATGAACGATTTAATTGTTTTATACATGTATTAACTTATCGTACGACATGATATACTGGATATTTCTCTGTTTAATTATTAAGCTTTGAGTTTTGACAAAATTAAATAATTAAATTAGGTGGCAAGTGCGTTAGCCGTCCACATCCTCCACCGGGAGGCAACACAGGATGCGATCGCGCGACCCTGCCCATGAGCAATCTTCCAACTCATCTCAGTCGGTACATACAACTTTAGAAATTAAGGATGCAAGTCGTACTTTCCTGCGACTCCCATCGGTGGCAGCACAAGACTGGCAACGGTGGGGTTCATTCCACGACCTGTTTCCATTTCATTCCTGAAACGATAGAAAAGAAATTTACAGTGCACGCGTTATCTTAATAATGAAAATTGGGCTCTTTCTCATACCTCATTTTTGTGATTAAACCTACTCATACTGCCTCTTTTAGAACATTGTTATAAAAGAATCTGTAAAAAGCGATGGTATCAACTTTCTTTCCTTCAGTTTATCTTATTCTTTATCTCTCTAACAAGAATTAACATTATACATTTGTCTAAATATTCCCGTAGGATTTTTCTTTGGCGGGTAAAAGAGCGAAACACGAAGGACGTTCGGACACCAAGCGATGACTTTATGAACACAGCCAAGGTTCGGGCGTCTGTCCTCCGTTATGATTTTAAACGGATAGTATACTCCCGCCAATGAAAGGAAAACGCGCCTTGAATCGACCAATCGCAGCCCTCCTTTCTCGTCGAGCTGCCTAATCTCGCGCTCTTATTGGTCGATACTTCGACTTCATCTTGACTTGGCACCTGTTTGCCCAATAAAATCATTTCTCAGGAGAAATGCGTTATTTGCGTTTGTGCCGCCATATTGTATGTGCAGCGCGGGTCAGCAGTGGGTGCGTGAGAGTTTTGTTGGGATTTTCGTCAGTTAAATAAAGGCCGAGAGAACTAAGCCGCAAAAAATCACAAATGATGGATCCTGCTAAATTGAAGGTAGTGGAATTACGAGCGGAGCTCTCGCAAAGAGGTCTCGACGCCAAAGGAAACAAAGCTGTCTTAGTCGAGCGACTGCGAAAGGCGTTAGAAGAGGAAGGCGCGGGCGGTAAGGATTGCACGTGAAGCGATAACACTAACGTCTCGACGACGCTATGAAAAAATGTTTTTGTGTACTTTTTAAGCCAAGGCTTATCTCACTAAACAGTTTTAAGGGAGGACGCGTGTTCACGATTACTGTTTACTATCGTTTACTTTTGAGGATACATCTTTCGTATAAGAATGCATGAATGTGACTGAAACGTGTCTGTTTTACTATTGTAGGTGGTTAGGTTCAATTAGTATGAACATGTGGGAGGTGTAAATTATCCTAACTACTAAATATTTTACTTGTCTCTTAGTCTTGAATGAAAAATATGGTTTTCTGTGAACTATGTATGTATGTATTTCCTACTGAATTGTGTGTCTTCTAAAGTGGATATAATTTAATGAATTCCAGAACCGGTTGCAGATGTCAAAGATATGGTAGATAACCGTGAGAAAACACCAGAACCTATGAAGCCAAAAACGCCAGGTAAATCGCACCGAGGTTCAACGACAACACCAGCCAAAACTCCCACACGGAGCTCATCAAAGTTGGCATCGACACCTAAATCTTCAACCAGGGAGTCTAGATCGCATAATATATCAGTGATAAAAGAAACGATACTAGAAGAACCTAAAATAGTTGAGAAACAGGTAAAACCAATATCGGAAAAGTCGTCAAAGCCATCGAATGAAAAATCATCCAAATCAACACCAGAGAAATCGGAATCACCCTCAGAGGAGAAATTAGAAAAATCGATAAAGCCAGAAGAATTTGAGGTAAAAGAAACAATTTTAGAAACAGTAGTTGAAGAATCAGATGAAGATAATACAGATGGTGACAAATGTGTCGTTACACCTGAAAAAAAACCAGTAGTATCATTCTCAGAGAATTCTCCTACATCAACGGAAAAGCTTGTTGAGCATCCAGAAAGATTGAAAGATTCTCCACAAAAGAATGTTGAACATCTGGACAGTTTTCATGATTCAGCGCAAAAGCCAGCTGAAAAGGTAATCGAACATCCAGAGAGACTAAAAGAATCTCCAAAGAAATTATCGAAGGAAACTGCAGAAAAGGATATTGGACATTTCGAAAGATTACAGGAATCTTCTAATACACATGTAGAAGCACCAGAAAAATCTGTTGAATGTGAGGAAAGGTTAAATGAATCACTAAAGGTGGTTGCTGCAGATATACCAGAGCAATTAGCAGAGCATACAGACAGGTTAAATGAATCACCAAAGAAACCTGAAGAGATTGATGAAAAATCTGCTGAACATACAGACACGATAGATGAATCTACAAAGAAGATTTCTGTGGAGACTGTTGAACAATCGCCAGAAAAATCCAGGGAAAGCGATACCAGTTTGAAAGGTTTATCTCCTGAAACTAAATCAATCTCAGAAACTGAAAAAGAAAGTTGTGCAAAGGATGACATAAAAGAAGATTGTAGTATTAAAAACACGTCTGCAAGTGGTGTAAACCCTACTGCTTCAAAAGAACTTTTTCCCCAAAGTGATGATGAGAATATTGAGGAATCTGTTACTTTGATAGAAAAGCAAGAATCAATGGATACTGAAAGTATTACGTGCGATGTTAAAGTTGATGATTCGGTAATAAATAAAGAAACTGTTACTGAGGTTACTGATACGGCTGAAGAAGATATTGAACAGACAGAAGTAGAGGGTTGTGAAGAACAGCAATGTGAACAAGAAGAACTACCTGACTCAGAGATGACAGAGAGTAGCGACGTAGTTATTAAAGAAGATTGGAAACCAGAAAAACCACTTGATGATGTACAAGTATGTTAAAATTAATCATGAAATATACTAGTATATTCTTTCATGTTTAAAATGAAGTACTTATCAACCAATTTAATCTTTATTTTACTTTTTTGAAAGGATGTTGAGATGTTGGAATCAAAACCTGAAGAAAAAGCAGAAGAATCAAGGGAGAAAGATAGGAGAGAACGCAAAGATCGGAAGCACAAGAGATCTCCAAGTCCACAAGAAGACCATCAAAGGACTCCACCGCGGATAAGACAAGAGAATGAACCAGATGTAGATACCACCACAGTGGTTCTATCTTGGTGTAAGTATTACTTCAAGTACGATCAATATGATGTAATTTTGAGACACTAATAACTTAATGTTTTTTTAATTACAAATAAAAATTTTAGTCGATTCCGACTTAAATCTGGACATCGACAAGGAGGGTTTCTTCTCTGCAACTCCTCTGCACAGTGAAGGCTTTGGTTACATTTGGGGTGGAGCAAGAGCGACACATGGATTCACATCTGGTAAAATTTACTTCGAAGTCAAACTTACTGCGGAGTGCTCAGTAAATTTACAAGATGAAGAGAACCTGCATTCACTTAGAGTCGGATGGTCTACTTCTCAGACGTCGACTCAACTGGGTGGGGAGAAACATAGTTTTGGCTATGATAGGACTGGAAAAAAATGTACAGAAAACGAATATGTGGATTACGGATCCTCCTTCGAAAAAGACGATGTAATTGCGTGTTACCTTGACATGTCAGATGAAACTGACGTGGTGATTTCATTTGCTCGTAACGGTGAACATCTCGAAACGGCGTTTACTGTGAAGAAAGAAGACCTCGGGGACGATGCTCTGTTCCCACATGTGCTCAGCAAGAACTGTACGTTTTCGTGCAATTTTGGTCAGGAAGAACCTTGGAGTGCAAATATCTTGGAAGAGTATATTCCTGTAGGATGCATTGAATTAAAGGACAGGGTTCAGGGTCCACAAAGACCTGAGAAAAAAGAAGATTGTGAAGTTATCATGATGTGCGGTTTGCCTGGCTCTGGCAAGACAACATGGGCCACGAAGTATGCACAGGATCACCCGCAGAAGAGATACAACATCCTGGGAACTGGTCAACTCATTGATAAAATGGAAGTTAGTATTCTTGAATTTAAAATATTCTAGAATTCATACTTCACTCTTACTCTTTATGTGATATGCATTCGGTGTCTGAAGTCATTTTCATACATTGTTCTCGTCTAGATTATGGGAGTTCCGCGAAAGAGGAATTTCAAAGGCCGCTGGGAGGTACTCATTGAGAAGTGTACTCGTGCTCTAAACAAGTTGCTCGACATGGCATCCACAAGAAGGCGCAATTTCATCCTTGATCAGGTAAGAAACATTTCTTTCGTATTTAAACACTTGGAAAATTTTAAACCGCTTTAAGAATTAATTATTCGCTTATGACGTATGAACTGAAATGTAACTCGATCGAAATTTGTTGAATTGTTATTCGCATTACTTGACTACGTATGTCGAGTTGCATTGTTATCTCATTAATCGTCGCCAGTTTTCGATTATTTCTTGCGCCACGTATACGGATGGTATGTCAAGTAAATTACATCAGCACATTAAAAGGAACATGCAAGATAGCCTGCAACATTTGAAAGGACTCAGTACGATTCAACGAGTGAGATAGTAAATGATATTTAACAGAGTCTCGGAAAAAAAAGAACTTAGATCTTGTAATGATTATCGAATGTTGTACGGTAAGTGCATCGCAAAAGCAAGACGACAACCAGACGAGTTGAACGGAACACCTGATATATGTGAGTAATAGTGCCCTTCTTTCCTTATTTTGGGTACGTTTCAGCTCAACACAAATTTAGCGCATGACCGAAGATCGCATCATCCCGGAAATGTCCTTATACAATTGTTCCCCAATATCGCACTTTTGTGTTGGTACGTTTCCGAGGAATGTTACATTATACCGTCATATGCTAAATATTGTTCACTTCTATTGATCAGGTAAAAGTTACTGCTAAGTCACCATAAAAATGAGCATTACAAAATGGTCTACTAGTCAGGAGGTACGTCAAAAAGAAAACCGCGTCATTAAAGACTACTAAGAATCTAATACAAATTGTTTTTGTACAAAACTGTAACTGCGTAAATAGGATCTGTATATCTCGCGACGAGCTTGTGCATGTCAAGTAATTGTGGACTCTTACAAGAGAAAATGCATCGAAATAGGAGATTAGGCATTGTTTAAATTCTCAATGGAGAAACCAGGGAGGAATGACTTTTCAGGCCATTCTTTTTTGTTCTTATACTTCAATATCACGTAGTAACACTTTATCCCTCAAAAAGGGGGGTGAAAATGATCACTTGGAATGTATGTCCACCGTAACAATCGACACGTTTTATTTCAACACTCGAAAGAACCAATATATTCCACGTAGAGCCTAGGTGTGAACGAGGACTTTTATTAGATAAATTACCTCGAGGACATAAATCTGGCCACTCTTCGGTGAGTATATTAGGATTAGATAGAAATAAGCGAATGAAGGAGCAGAGTTTGGGCGCCGGTAGCGCCGAATTAATTAATTAATGAAGGGGTGGGGGCACGATTTAAGTGGCACCGCCGACCCAAAATGCGTCTGAGAACAAATATATGCGCCCAGCTCTAACACGTCATGACTCTCACGAAAATCTGTATTTTCTATGGAACCGATACAGACAAACGTATATCCTTCCGCACAAAGGCGCAAAATGAGGCATTTCTATGGATTCCAACGGCGGGCGGTAGTTGTAGTACCGACGGACGAAGAGTTCAAGTTGCGCTCGGCTAAGCGCGAAGCGATCGAAGGCAAGGACATTCCTGATTCCGCGGTCGTGGAAATGAAAGGTTGGTCTTAATCCTTACTCGAGAGAACATCGCACTCTCGATTATATGAGACTTTTACATCTCCTTTGAGACGTAACCCACAATTGTAGGTGCGTTATGTTGTAAGCTCCATTGGCTACCTGATTGACGATACTCCCATGCCTCGCAATGGTGGTAATAAGTTGGCAAGGATGCTACTTTGAGATTATTACAAGAAGTCACCAATGTGGGATTCAAGGCATCCATAGAATTCTCTTGCCTTCAGTATTTCATATACTATAAACTTGATCAACATTTATAACCTTGCCTCTTTGTTACCGCCATTGGGAGTCTGATATCTACATTTAAAAACAATTTCCAATGTGGCGTTTGTTGCTTTCAGCGAACTTCAGCGCTCCAGCGGTAGGAGACTGCTTTGATGCGGTCGAGTGGGTGGAACTAGCCGAAGAAGAAGCTAAAAAGCTCATCGAAAAGTACAATAAAGAGGGAAAGGATGCTGGATACGGACAAGCGCAACCACAGAGCAAGAGACCGCGTCTCGAGAGGAGCGACAGTCACAGGGACAGTCGTGACTCTCGGACCAGTCGCGACAGCAGAGATAGTCGGGATCATCGCGACCGAAGGACTGGATGTAGGTTTCAAGTGTATTCGTTAAAATTACTTGTTACAATTAATGTTGTAACGTGTGCAGGAGATAAAATTATGTAAAAATAGATTCGTCTCCATTCGAACGTGGTCCTAACGGATAGAAAATGTTTGCAGACGTCGACAGAAATCGCAACGCCGGTGGTTGGCGAGGGGGCAGCGCCACTGGTTGGAGGGACAGGCCACAACGTGGTGGCCACATGAGACATGGCGGTGGGTACGGTACCCCTGGAGGCTGGAGAGGTAGAGGTGGACCTCAACAACCGCACCGTGGAGGTGACAGAAGAGGAACTGACAGAAGGTCGAGCAGCGATCGCAACAGACTTACGCCTGCTCGGCAGAACTGGGGTCCGATGAAGTAAATAGGAATTTTTCGACAATTTTACTTGACACTCCATTTTAAACTACTTTAAATCTTTCATGAAATTTTTTTCGCATTCGAGTGGGTTTAATTACATCTGGTTTATTACGTCTTCGCAGTTACCAAAACTCGCAACAGCCATCGAATTGGAACCAACAAGGCTGGAGTGGAAACCAGTCGCAGCAAGGTTGGGGCCAACAAGGGAGCTGGGGTCAGCAGCAATGGTCAAACTGGAAAGGTGCAGGCCAAGGGGGTTACGGTCAGTCGGGATATGGACAGCAGAACTACGGGAACGGTAACTGGAGCGACTGGAACCAACAGTATTACAATCAACAGTATTGGGGCCAACAGCAGCAAACTGGACAATCGACTGCAGCTGGTGGCCAAGCTGTAAGCAAAAAATAATCCGCCACGGTAAATGTTACGAGTGTGGAACAGAAAGTAAGGTATAGATGTGTCTTAGTTCTTGTTTATTATATACTTAAAGTAGAAAGCAGTACGGGTCTCAGACTGCATCGGATAATTTTGTTAAGATCTGTTATTTACGCTGTATTTTTTTTTAAAGCGGTACTTGTAACGATACTTCATAACCGTACATAGGAAACTGCGTTGGCAGTTTGTGAACAGGATATCTCCAGGAACATGAAAGTATAATACGTACTTTCTATCACATTACGTTTTAATCCGGTAACGGAGTTTCTATAACTGTACGGTATAATAAATGTGGGATGGTCTTATTTGTTTTAGGTTTTTGATTTTTAGGAAAATATTTCTTTCGCGTACTTTTCGTCCCAATTATTTCATATTGAATGGTGACAGGGTAAATAAACTGTTGTTAAACCGAGGACGTATGTTGTTAAAAAAAGTTTCCTAGACTGTTCAAACAATTAACTATTTGGACATGACATGGATTTTCGGTCTGTAAAATTCCATGATTGCGGATTTTTCTTGAATAAGTAAAAAAAACGGTAGCTTTCTTCAACTACAGTTCACCAAAATCCTCTGTTAGCGAATGCCAAAAGGGCGTTTCTCGTTATAGTGCTACGGATTACTATGAAGATAACCGAATTGCCATACCTCACTTTCTGATCCTTGATATGTGAGCTGCAATGTAATGTGTATATTCTAAGTAATACTCCTTTTATTTTTATTTTTTTTTATATTTATTTTTATTCATGATCGATATCGTGAATTGAACCTTTTCCATTCATCAGGCCCCATTTCCGAAGCAAACAATTGTAGCATGTCTGTTTCTTTATCCTTCTTGAAAAGCAGGATTCAACGAACCGTCATTCATATTCTGACATTTTTAGATGTGGCACTACTTGGAAATACTTTTTCGCTATCACGTAGAACTTACGATTATCATCGCGTATGTACGAAAATAATTACTTCGAGCGCATGAACGAATGTGTGGACATCCATTTTAAGGATAGAGATACCGAATAAGATACGATGTTTATCATTAAAGCAAGGACGATTCTCACAAAATTCACTCGTTGCAGGCAACCACCGCAGTGGCCACAACTACACCGGCAACCCCGACCAGCACGTCGGCATACAATTATTCCCAAAATTGGCATGGTTATGGGCAATCTTACGACTATTCTGACCAGAGTACTACCGCGGACACCCAAAAAGTTCAACAACAAAAATAGGAGCACCAACTGTCCCGCCCAAGACTGTACACTTACGTTGATGTACGGCGCTCTATTTTTTCGTAGTTAATATTGCATAGCCATACTGTGAACGATATAATTGCAGCAATAGTCGGCATGCTTTCACATAGAAAGAAAGGAGTAGAATAACCTACATTGTAGTTCTGTCTTCGTTATCTCTCCTTGCACCGCTGGTTATTATTTATGCGAACGATCACCTGCAAGCTTGGTACCTCGATACTGGGAAGGTGTTTGTAGGGCTTTCTTTTTACGAATGGGTTTTATTTCAACCTCGATAGCTGTCCGACTAGAGCTGTAGTACTTGTAACCAAGATAATTTGCAAGGTACCTCGTGTAACCGAGCTACAAGGTATTACACATAAAAGACAGGGCATTCGATCGAAGGAAAACCACTACATATCGTGTAACATCGCTGAACTGGCTGATGACGCTCTGGCGTTGACTAGTTTTTATTGAAGGGAAAGGAAAAAAAAAAGTTATGTAAATATATGTATAGATCGCACAGCAGAACGATATCCACCGATCGATGTATCAATGTTATGTCAAGTAATTTTACATTCGAAAGTAACATTTGGAAATATCCACGTGCTTTTTAGCCCAGTCGCTTGTGTGTCGTTTCATTGTATCCGTTCGAATGTTGTTCCGTAATGGAAATTTCATGTTGACGATTTTACTCGAATTCAATAGTCCTACATGTGTTCGGGCACATTTTGTACATTGTCTTAATGTATAAGCTGACGCATGATCACAATCACGACATACGAAAAGAATAAATTATTTTTTTGTGTTCGGCCTATGTTGCATGCTTGTTCGGAGGTACCTGGTGCAGGAAATTTTAATCTTTGGTGTATCTCGGTTGCGCACCTCGTGGTAAATTATAAAAACTTGTATAATATTCCAAACGAGAGGCCCGTTACATCCGACCAGATTATAATACGATCTCTAAACGATAGAAACGTGCGATTTAGTTTTAAATGGTGCATCTTTCGTCCATGGAAAAAGAAGACTGCCAAGATATATTGCACCAGATCATGTATCAACTATCTAGCATATTTCATTCACTCGTTAATTTTGTTTGGAATCCAAAGTGAGAATTAGATCTTTTCATTTCGTGGCAGGAACTCGATAAAGCGATACAAATGCGATTACGTTCGATGTATATTCCTATGTCGAATGACTTGTTTGTATGTCTAGTACCGCTTGCAGTCATGAAACAAACTTCTACAGATTTCAGCGACATCAGTTATAATAGATTATAGTTTTACGAGTTTATATCCGCTATAAACGAAATACTTTGCATATTGAGTGGTGTATTTTAAGGAAACTTAAATTCCCAAATTATGGGAGAAGAAAAACCAACCAGAACCTATTGTGTTACTGGCTAAGTAGATAGTCCGGCCGTCTTTGTTGCTATCGTTTTACTATTGATGTACAGTAAAATGATAACTACGTTATTTCAACCTTGTAATAGTAGTCGTATTGTCTCCTTTTCCTGTGACATATTGTACAGTACACGACGAGTTCTTTGTAAGATCCAAAAAAGGAATGGTAGCACTTAGTACGTAGGTTATATTGTAGGACTAGTGTGGAGATTAGGACATCAAGGGATGAAAAATATGACATATTTTTTAAGAGATAACCAGAAGATTTATTTAAACTAGGCGTATAACATGTATCGACTACTACCATTATGTTACCGCGTTTGGAAATCCTCGAACGGTTTGGAATGAATTGTAAAAATTCGATCACGTTTTGCACACTGTGATTGAGGTTTTTCTATTCACTAAAGGAAAAAAAAGTAACGAGTACATTAAAAGATATGAATTTATTTGTTGATAAAAATGTACAAACTTATTAATAAAATAAAAATTTCTTCTATTTATAAATGTTTGGACAGCCGTCCTGGATGCATTCTGCGATATATTCAACTCTTGTCCATGTAAATGTACGCATTCTTACGTTTGTCCATTTTATTTATAACGTTGGAATCGTGTTACTAATCAGAAATATTACAAAAATAAATACATGATCGTCACTCGAACAATTGACTTAACTTTCAGTTTATGTAGCAAAAAGTCAGTGTTGCAAAGATAGTTTTTATACATAATTAGATACTATTGTTTCAATAAATAAAAGGTAAATTGCGTAAATGTGAGAAAGCACAGCATTATCAAACAGTTTCATAAGTTTTTATTAGTAGCGGTGGGACGCAGAATTACACTGTACATAACAAAGCACACTTTATTAGATATTAATATAGAACGTCGTTCGCACTAGTATGCGTCACGCGCAAAAGTATTGCTATTATTAAAGAATATCGCGAAATCGTGTAGTAAATCAGTTAAACCTCGCGCACCCCCACGAGCTATTAAACCAAGAAGTATGGCATTTTGTAAAAATATGTTAATTATTGTACAAACACTCGAGAGAGAGATAGAGTAAAGTTCACAATTTCGCTAAATCATACAATAATTTCAGTCAAAACGCTCAAAATGCAGAATCTAGGTGATACAATCCCCCCCTTCCCCCCCGCTTACTTAACGCGTCATTAAAAAAATAACCATTATCGACCTATTTAATGTTTATATTATTGTTATCATATTTCTTGTCGTGCTCTTATGCTAATATCACAATGGCTTCAGACAGTCGAGACTCGAAATAGTTGCGCACGAATATCTTTTCCCTTAGCATTATGGTACTTCAAAAATGGAGGTATGCTTTACATTCTACATATAATGTATAAATTCTTAATATACTCAGAGTTACTTTGCGTATCTTTGAAATTTCCTAAAATTCATTTGCACAGTTAGCGTACCACAGCACTCCATTATCGTATACCTACCTATAATGAATTAAAAGTATCTATAGCAAAGAGATTAGGATATCCCATCTTCGTAGCATTACAAACCGCAACTAGGATATCCTGATAATCATTTTTACGAATGTTGTTTAAGTTAATGAACTACGTGTGTTTAAACATGTGATATGCCATGTTTTTTTTAGAAAGAAAAGAAAAATAGGAAATAGCACGTGCCTGTCGCCACATTACAAATATGTTAACAAACTGGGTACTTCCAAACTGAAGGCTGGTCATTATTCGCTTCTTTCGAAGACATGCCATGTCATTAGCATTCGTCGGTAAGCACATCGTTTAACCTTTAAAATAATTATATTTCAGATGTTTCGATCCATCTCTCAGGAGAAAGGACACCGTTACTTTACAACGTAAGTATCTCTACATGAGTTCATGCTACATGTATACAACTAGTCAATGATCTAACAAATGATATCAACGTTCCAGGAGATGCCAAGGGATTGATCTCCAATATCGATCACTGTAAAATCTATTTGTGATGTGTATAAGTCTAGTAATTGTATAAAATGGAGATCATTCACACGTAATTTCAAAAATCAAAAGTATTGTCATCATATCTATTCATTAACCCTTTGCGGTAGTATGTCTACTCTCAGCCACCAAAACACCTATGTATAAATTGAATACGACCGCAAAGGGTTAATTAAACGAAATCGATTCGAATGCATAGCGACATAATATAGCAAGAACAAAATTGAGACTAATTCAATAAGGATAGCTTGATACTTTATAAAAATCATATTGTTATTACGAATTGATTCGGTATACTGCCTCAGCAAATCTGCCTACACTACTAATCCTATTCAACACTTATTTCAAATTCTTCTATGTAACAATACGATTATTTTCTTGTAAACAAGCTGCAGACCTTTCTCCTGAGAATAACAAATGCAATATTAATCCCATCAACCTTGCATTAAAGTCTATGCATCCTTTCACAGTTACTTTTAGTATCAAAAAACTTGTTAGACTCTGTTAATTTCTGTCAATAACTGAAACACAAAATAAAATTTAATTAAGCATTCTATCATGAAATACTTCGAAACTAAAACTCCTTTTCTTGCGTTATCTTATCTTGACACATGTAGAACAGGTAGAGTTTAATTACAAATTTTGCAAAATTGGTATGTATACTTGTTTCAATGACTCTCTCAATTTTTTCAAGTAATCAACGGAGACAAGTACATTTGGAAAAAAAAACAAAAACTTGTTTTAAGTGCATATGAAAGAAAAATTGCGGAAAATATTACGACAGTTAGCATTAGATAGACATTTTATCACACTCCTGGAATTGTTCAATTATATTCAAACAAAACAATTACTTTAAGGTGTTAAGTAGTGGACTTGAATGCAGTAGATCAATATTCTTGAACTGTATTACAAAATATATTTAATGTACAATATTTTCAAAGCCCTCTATAATACTCTGCCATTATTCGTACGATGTCTAGCGTAACAATGTGCCACAATTACTCATAAAATTCCACGTTCTTTGGAGTGTGTAATGCCGGTTCGACGAACGTTCGTTGTAAAACGTTATTGTTGGTTTAATTCGGTATTTCATTTTAAACTACTACATAACGCGTCTGATAGAAAAACTTGGTTATACTATACATTAAGTTGTCTATAACGAACATGACGGTTAGGGTCATTCCAAGAGAAAGGCCCTTGCTCGTGCTGTCATTTTACGCACTCGTCCCCTGCTGCTTATACTGATTCCAGGCTCTGGCAAGCTCTCGTCACTTTCTTCGGCATAATAACGTCTCTTAATACTACGTCGATTACGAGGAGGAGCAGCATTGCTGTCATCGCTCTCTTCGTTGTAGCGCGGACGTTTACCACTTCTGCGAGTATGTTGTGCTACGTCTTGACTATCCGAGTCTCTAGACACACGCGTTTTCCTGTAATTTCTAACTGGTTCAAATATCGCATCCGACTCCTCACTATCCGAGTCTAGAATGTTAGTAGCGACAGGAGGTCGAATTTCTTCTTCGTCGGAATCACTTTGTGCATCGTTACAGTCAGATCCATCTTGAGCCTCAGGTACAAGTACTGGCATCCTAGCAGTTGCTTTACGTGACCTCGTGGAATTTTTCTGCACAACCTCGTCAGCACTTTCTTCATCTTCTTCTGTGGTCTCGGGTTCAAGGAATTGATCTTCGTCATCCTCTTCGTCATCGGTTACAAATGATTTTGGCTTAGGCTTACTTTGTTTAATATTCTTACTATTTTTCGCTCGATTTTTACGAGTCTGTTTTCCCCGACCACCTGGTTTATAACTATCTCCTGAATCACTATCCCCAGCATCACTACTCACTGTCTTTCTTCCCCGTGTTCTTCGCATTGGTGCACTATCGCTGCTTTCACTTTCAACTGTTGCCTCTGAGTCACTTAGTTCACTGTCACTAACCTTAGTCTTCTTCATCGATGCATTTCTTGAAATTCTTAGTCTTATGGTAGGACGAGATAAACTTCCACTGCCTTTTGCATGGCCATTAGTTAAACGGGAAGGACCTGTTAAATAACCTTCCATTAATTTTCTCATCTCATGTCCATGGGAAATATTAACCATAGTATGGTATCGTACCACAATGCAACATACCAGGATCTTCCAAGCCGCGAGACTTTCGTTTCGATTTAGCCGATGATCCTTGATTTTTAGATGTACTCTCATCTTCGTCCTCATCATCATCATCGTCATCGCTACTTTGCACTTTAGATGGCCCTAGAAATTGAATTTTGAAATATACAGGTACTTTCATAGACAAGTTTTATTGATTTAAACCAATCACATCACTGTAAGCTAAAACGAGCAATTGAGACTGATAATATGAAAAAAGACATTACCTGCACCGTTCGTAAGACGCGCCTTGCCTTTCTTACCGGTGTTATTTGCCTTTGCCTTTGCTCTTGCATTTTCACTACGTCGTCTTGCTGATTTCCAATTAGAAACGATTCTTCGCATATGTTCTTCAAACATTGCTGACAATCTTATCGTCATTGAATATATCTGAAAAAAATATGGTACATGACATATCAGATATTTTGAACTATGGATACCAGTAAATATACAAATAATTTCAAATCACAACTTACCCTGGAGCGCTTGTTTGTATTATAATTCCTACTATTTGAAAAAATCAACTTCATATCTTTGGCAAATTCAGCAGGAGTCTCGTAATTCCCTCCCAATAAATCTTCTTTCACAGTTCTAAGATCCATTGGAGTATCTATTATTTGGTAATAATCGGGATGCTCCAATCTGTCTACTGGTTCCCTGCGATGACAGTAAACCCATTAAAATAGTGGAACAAATGAAATATTCATTAAAGTCTATGAGATTAAAGTAACTAACGCAATAAGGATATCGTACGCATAAGAAAGTAATATTTATAAAATGATAATTAACTATTTACCTAAATGGAATTGAGTCTTCGCATTGCCACAAACTTTCCAACAATTGTCGACAAGCCAGTTTCCAATCCTGACAAACTTCTTTCGACCGTAAATTTCTATTGGCAACTGGTTTCTTTGAACTAGTAGAAGGTTTTTCCTTGTCCTCTTCAACATCGATTTCTGAATCCGACGAATGGTACGTATCGACTAATTGATGATAGACTGCAGGGACATCTAGCTCCGTAGTCTCTCTATTAATTATATATAAAACCACTATAAATACCTTTACTTCTCCACATACACTTTTTAGAATGATGTAGAAAGAGAACTTACTTAATGATACGCAAGCACAAGTCCGTAACAATTCTGGCTTGCTTGACGATTTGACTGTGAGGTTCGTTAAACTGCTCAGCGTTGGTAGCCAAATATCTTACATCAAACTGAGCAGACGTGATCCGTCTGTAGAAATGGTTCTCAAAACGAGCTTTTATGGTCGACAAGTCAATAGGATATTCCACAACGAATGCATAACTTGGATAGATATTTAAATCTACCGGAACCATAAAGGGTTCCGCGATAGCGAGACTCATTACTTGATCTAGCCCTCGAATTATCCTACGGCAAGTCGCTTCTCTATCTCCCATCGGCCATTCCTCGGCATGAGGTTGATACAACGTCGCTTGTATTTCTTCCGGAAGTACGGGAACGGCACCACCGATTTCCGCTGGGAGTCCTATAATTTTTGAAAATACATACATTAAAAACTGTCGCGACATTGGGTTCCTCAAAACGTTACTATAATTTTACAAAAACAGCTTGATGGCCAAACTTACTATCTTCATCAATGGGTTCCAGATCCCAAGGGCTCATCCGTTCGAACTCTCCATTGTCCCATCTGACCCGAAAGCACATAAAGAAAGATTCCGAAAAATCATCATCCAACGGTTCCATGGACTGAATTTGACCCATCCACCATCCATCGTCAATCATACAACGAAACCGATCACCCTCGGACCAATTGCGAGCAAGGGCTGTGTCAAAAGTTTGACGAAGAACCAGGAAATCTAATACATCGGCCATGTCGTGGTACTTTATGGTAAAAGTCTCCCCAGTTAACCGACCATCTTCTTCCATTAAAGCTAACTTGAGACAACACAATCGTGGCGGGCGAATCTCGTACTTGATTCCCACAACTTTGACGACTTCTTGAGCCTGTGAATTCATTACAATTTTCAGATGATCGCTAATAATGGCATCGTCTTCCAAAGAGACGGTTACGATGTGACGTACTTACTCGTATGTTCATTTTAGACCAAGGCTCGAAACGAGGGCCAAGTTCGTACACCTTTTTGTTTCTAACGGCGTCAAGGTAAAACTGATGACCTTGGCGAAAATATACTATCTCGTCACCCATCTGTGGGTAGTACGGAGCTTTTCGAGGTATCACCTCGGTAAGCCACTCCGACGGACGGAAAGCTTCAGGGACTTCCGCGACTCCATTAGGTACCGCTACAACCTGATTCAAATGATTGTCATCAACTTCCTCGCATCTTGCATTTAGAATTTCTCTACCTTGACTGTTTTTACCTTCGTTAATGCCTTTACCTTCTTCTTGGGTCGCTGACTGCGTCTCCTGTCCGATTCACTCGGTGGAGTAACAGACCTTTTTTTTACGGGCTTTCGTTTGCTCCTTTTTGGCGGCTCCAAATTGAGTCCGTGATCGGCAATCCAATCCGAATATTCACTACTTGAATCCGACGTTGAACTGTCCGAACTCATATCCTCTTCCTGTGCCGTCGAATCATTGCTATTACTACTCGCTGAACTTCCAGACGTTGCTCCGTTATCAGGATTCTATCGATATAAATTCATAATTTATAAATACAGGAACATCGTAATAAAATAATAATATCAGAGAATAATAAAACAAAAAAGTATTTATCAAGAGAAATCTCTCTCTATCGTACCTCAAACTCTGCGTCCTCTTGTTCTTCACCTCTGGCAGCCCTTGTTCTGTAACCGTGTCTTGTATTTCTATTGCGTTTCCGGTTCGCTAAACGGTTGGCTAATCCTCCTTGGGCCGTTGTAGTACTCGAGATTAACTGTGGTCTCCGTCGCATCTCACGCCTCCAGATCTCTAACTCCATATCAGCCATTGCAACGCTAATAAAACCGAAAACGTTTCATTACAGTTATCACCAAATGTTCGCACAGGAGTTTGGATTAATTCTCATGCCAACGTTTTAATTATGGCAAAGAACTTGACAATACTTACAGCAACTTGGTTTGCGTTTCACGAATTGCAGGGTTTATTGGTTTTGCGAGTATCGGCTTGTTCCAAGGAGTGGTATTATCTCTTTGCCAGTTACCGCTACTTTGCCTAACACCCTCGACATCTCCAACTCTTCGTAAACCAGGTCTGCTTCCCCGTGGACTCGCGATTTGCCGTACGGGTATTTCTCCTTGATTTTCATCTCGTTCTTCTCCAGGTTCCCCTTCGACGTTAATGTTCTGCCTTTGCGCAAGAGCTTCGATTAAACGGTCGATGTTGGATCGCGGTTCCTGAACGGGAAGACCTTCGATAACCTCCTGCATTCCTGTACAGGCAATAACAATTAAATTACCGGTGTAACTGTTATAATGTTGGAAGATTTCTCATTGATGTATTTAATAAGAGTCAATGCTTACCACCAGCACCTACTGCGATATTCGGAACTAGCTGTTCACCTCGACAATTCTCTCTTCCTGGTACCAATCGCTGCAATGCTGGAGGATATGGATTGCCATCAACGTCAACCAGAAACGGCGGGGGCATTAAATGTGGTGCAGTCTGCGTTTGCTCGTCCAACACATAGTTATTAGCATCTCTTATCAAAGGACGGTAATCCGTGTGGAAGAACAATTCTTTTGGAACCTACAAACGAGATTGAAAGTGTACTCTACCTCTAAAACGTTTAGTAAATACTTATTTCACGAATAACTTACTATTTTCAATCTCTCTACGCCAGAACCGAAACCGTACATCAGAAGATGCCCATGAGAATCCGTAGCAGCCAACATAGTTCCATCGGGTGACCATTTAGCATCGAAGACAGCGCCATTACCTTGGCCTTCGATGAAATTTTGGAAGCAGGCCATCGGTTCCGTGTTCAATACATCCCAAATAATAAGCTGACCATCGTGACCGGCACTCAATATGACTCGAGGGTCCATTGGATGAGATTCCAAGACAAATACTTCATCTTTATGACCTCGCAAGACCTTTGCTAATTCTCCCGTGTGCGCGTTCCACACTTTTAGTGAACTGTCGTTGACTGCCGTAATAACCCATTCATCACTCAGATCCCAACTTACCATTGTAACTTTTGTCTTTTTATTTGTATCATCGTCTGCATCTGGCTCGCTGAAAAAAAAATCTCATTTCGTTAGATATAATTAAATTACCTGTAAATCTTTAAAACAGATCAATAATATATTTTATAATTCGCTGTTACTATATTGAAATTAACCAGTACTTGAACAAGAAAAATACCCCGGAAGTTTCGTGGTCATTAGAAGACGTTTATTTATCCATTGTTGCTGCTCGAAATGCCAGACATTGGCAGTGCCATCCTTAGAACCAGAAATAAATTTCAATCCGCTGTGTGCCCATTGCATGCTGTCAACAGTGTCTGAATGTGCTTCAACTTCTAGTACTCGACGAGGTCCTTCATCTCCCAACATTGCATATACCCTGACGTGGTGATCCGCGGATCCAGCTGCCATGAAAGCACCACCTGGACTAAATGACGCACAGATCATTTGTGCTTGACCTGGCCTCATTTTTTCGTGGTACTGAATTGGTTTTGTTCTGAAAATATTAATTGCAATGTCAATATCACACGGAAAAACCACTCTATAAAATAGGATTATACAGATGATAGTCTTACTGGAACACAGCCCTGTCGTTGCCTTCCCTTGCGTGAGACCAAAATGCCACCGAACCATCGGTACTGGTGGAGACGAGATAATTCACGCCGTTACATGGGATTGGGCAAAAATTTACAGAAGTAATCATACCAGAATGCCCAGATAATACAGCAACCTGATTTATAAGTTAAAAATAAAGTTGAAGCTTTCAAATTTAAATAAAAGTTGCAAGACATAAATTTTGCGATCAATATAACGCATATTACTTACAGGGGACATTGTCTGGAAACACCATACTCTCAGTATCCGGTCTAAGCTTCCAGCTGCTAAAAGAGTGTTATCAATATTAACTGCAATATCCATTATTTCAGCCGAAGCACCTCGAAAGGTAGCCAAAAGACGTCCATCTATGCTGCTCCAAACTTTGACAAGTAAATCGTCGGCACCAGTGATAACATATTTTCCAGTGCGATCATATAGAACACAATATACAGCAGATAAGTGTCCTAACGTGTGCCGATATAATTGCATTTTGCTGTAAAATTTTGTTGGAACCGCTTCATGCCGACTAATGGGTCCAGAATTTTCTCTTCCCTGAAGTACACGTACTGTTGAAAATATATATAAATAGTAAAGAGTAATATTTGTCAAAGATAATATGAAACCGTCTCATCGTTTCATTGTTTAAATGGTATTACTTGCACCGACTTACCAATATTGTGAGTTAAACCGCTATTAAGTGGCTCCAAAAATGGCTTTCCTCCCATTCTTCCAGAATAAGCAACAATACCACGTACGTACCGCGAAAGATCTAAAAAAATCACTTCATATATTTTACCGCCATTAAATCATTAAACCGTACCATTTTGCATCATCCAGCTTTTGATTTACCTTCGCGAGTACGCAACAAAGATTGTGTTCCTGCTCCTAATAACGAAACGGCTCCAGGAACACATGGTGGAACTTCCTTTTCTAACACTGGCCCGATGCGAGCACATATTCGCAGTAAATGTTCTGCTCCGATATGAGGATACCTCTTTTCCTGTGAAGCGAGAACAGCAACGTTGGTCAATATCGTTTAAATAAAATTGAAAAGTTTTAACATGAAAAACATTGCAAGGGAATTGTAAACGAGCAAATCGTTCGTAAATGAACACATTCTCCCTTAACACAACAGATTCAATACTAAGATACACAACAAATAGAAAGGGGAGACAATTCCGGATAAGGTTTCCGCGTGAATTCGAATCCACGGTAAAGTAGTCCCCTTTAAGTTCAGCCAACAAGAAAACGGGGCATACGCGACGCGAGCGACCGCAGCGCCATCGCGATCACGTACGGAACCTCTTTCTATAAATAAGTGGAGAAGATATATATTCATTGATCAGTCGACGCAAGATGGCTGCTGGTAATCGGCCATTGGTGCGTTCAGAAGCAGAAGGGAGGCCGTGCAACAGCCGAGACGAGCCAAATGGAGGGGAGATGAAAGGGGGATCGGAACGACAGGAAAGGGGTGGCAGGAGCCCGTAAGGGGTACCTCGTCGACCAACAGACCCCTCGACCCGAAGAGGAGAAGCGGAGCCGACCTCTCCTCGCGACGTAAAGAAACGAGGCACCGAGGGAGGTCGGCCGCGCGAACCTCTCTTTGAGTTCCAAGTACGACACGCGCTCTCTCTCTCTCTCATCGGAACATGGCCTCTCGAGGGCGCGTTACCGTTTTGTACTCACCAACTCCGCGAACGACTGCTCGTGCGAATTCCCTTCCCAGTCGAGTCGCGCCGGTAGAATCTGTTGACAAACACAGGAAAATCTGCATGAACTCTCGGGCAGAAAATCTAACCTCAATCAGGACCAAGACAAAGGGTACCCGCGGCGCACGAGGTTGTCGACCTCGCGATTCTAATGTTTTGACAAGCAGAAACCACGTGCAAACCATGTGGAGCCACCAGCTACGTATCGCCGAGCTCCCGGCAAACGTCAACCCAATCGAGTCCCGCTTACCTCTGAGCGTTCCAACTCGTGCTTCAGCGCCTGCAAGAAATAACGCGTCTCAGTAAGGTAGCTCGAGCGGGCGACTCGTCTCGCGATCTCGGATGATACTTACCTCCCCGATCTCCCGGCAGGGCCCTGTCGCCAAGAATTTCGCTACGAGGAAGTACAGCTCTGGAAGCACGAACAGAGTGGGTTAGGAGTGATTCACGCGCTCGCTTGGGCCGCGAACGGTCGGGATGCCTCGTCGCTCGCCCTGACTTACCTGGTGCTATGGCCGCCTCGTTCCTCGACAGGCCGGCCTCCATCTCGCTCCGCGATTCAATGATCGTTCACTCACGGACCGAGGGAAACATTTATTTTTTCAGGTCATACCGAGGCACCGCCGACTCGGATCTCATTTTCTCTCTCGCGAGCCACCAACCGCGAGACGCACCGAAACGCGGACGCGCACGCTCCGACACTCCGCGAAAAGTAGTTCTCCCTACTTCGGCGATCGGGTTACCGCTCTCGCCACCAGGGGCGCTCACGACGCTGCCAACCTCGACGTGAACCATAGCTCTATGACGTGACTCCATCGGATGCCATGACACCGCGACGCTTTATGCCTGGTTGAGAAAGCTTTAACGGCCTCGTCCCTTTTCTTGCATGCTTCCTCGAGAAAAGCAAAACTCATATTTGGTTCTTAACACAGTTGTTACGCCTAGGGATTCGAGGGATTTTTATTGGTTTTAAAATAAAATTATAGTTACACCCTGATAATACGATATAATAATACGGTACTACATAAATCAACGTGCTTCGAGTCACGGCAACGTCACGTTCGTCAGCCTCCAACGAATCTGGAATTTTTAATACTTGACAAGTTTTCGCGACATTGAAGTTCCGTAAATTAGGAGAAATATGAAGGAATGTGTGAAAAAATTCGAAAATACTCGAGCTGGAGGTCAAAATTGATGAATAAAGAAAAATGGAAAAACCTCTCATGACTCTATGGCGGTGACTATCGACGTGTCCGTGGGCCGGTACTTTTGACGTGTCCGTGGGCCGGTACTTTTGACGTGTCCACGGAAATTTAAGGCTAACGATTGCACCAAAAGCATTTATTACATAATAGGGCTTATCAAGAAATAATTACTCATTCATGACATACGGCAAAAGGACTATCTTACCGCCACCTAATCTAAACTTCGTTGTTGTATGTCCAATAGAACACCGCGAAGTAACCTTCGAATGGGGATAATCTAACGCGCATATATATTTGCTGACGCAATGATAGTTACTCAATATTTGTACTAATTTGAAAATTATATGTCAACGCACATCAACGATACTTTATTTAACAGTGCAATAGATAGAAAGTTCGATAGTAAATATTACCAAAGGTGATAATTCCCCAGGTAGTACTGGATTATCAGGAACGACTACACCAAGGTGAGGCAAGGCTTCCGCACCTACCGCACCTCGTGACTTGGAACGTTTAAATACTTGTGTGTTATGGTACCGAATCAAAGAGTCAATCGAAGTGCATCGAGAGCAAGCGAGACATGTCCTAGGCGAACATTGTTCTGAAAACAATGTATAGTAGAATTGTTTGATAGTAAAAGGTTAACGAATTGTATATTATTATTTAAACGAAAGATGTCATGGATAAGAGATAGTACTTTAAACTGGTTACAATGTATAGCCATTAAAGTTCTAAAGACTGGAAAGGTCCCAAAACATGTTGCATTTATAATGGATGGCAATAGACGATATGCAAGTAAGAAAAAGGTAGATAAGGTGGAAGGTCATACTAAAGGGTAAGCGATTGTACTTTGTATACTACGTCAGGATGTATCGTGTACTTTAAGTAATTTATACTCACTATATTTATTTCAGTTTTGATAAGCTAACGGAAACTCTGCAATGGTGTTTCGATCTTGGTATTCCTGAAGTTACGGTATATGCATTTAGTATAGAGAATTTTAAAAGAAACAAGGAAGAGATCGATGGAATTATGGAACTTGCTAAACAGAAATTCCAACGCCTATTAGATGAAAGGTATATTTTCATGTTATTCTGAAAATTAATTTACTAATGTCAGTTGATTATTAACTCTGTTTATTTCTAATTGTATTGCATTTTAGAGATAAGCTGATGGAGCATGGAATTCATATCCGAGTAATAGGTAATTTATCATTAATTCCAATGGATATTCGTAAACTGATTGCAGAAGCTATGCTCATTACAAGGCACAACAATAAAGTGTTTCTGAACGTTGCCTTTGCTTATACGTGTAAGTTTTTCATTATCTTTATTACATCAATGTGTCTAAATCATTGAGTTTGTTTCGCACATTTCACACAGTTTCTATTTTTTACAGCAAGGGACGAAATAACACAAGCAGTAAAAAATGTTGTAGAAGGTGTAAAAAATGCGGATATACTTGTAGATGATATCAATGAAGAATTACTGTCTAAGAGTCTCTATACTGGTGATTTACCTGAACCTGATTTACTTATTCGCACATCTGGAGAGGTACGATTTAGCGACTTTTTACTATGGCAGGTAAGTTTTCATAAACAATTACTAGATACAGTATTACTAAAATAGATCAATGAAACTATTGAAAATTGATTATAATAGTAAATGAGTTGTAAAAAATTATATTAAACAATTTCAGACTGCCAAATGTTACGTTTATTTTTCGGATGTCTTGTGGCCAGAATTTACAGGATGGGATTTATTAACTGCCGTGTTTTACTACCAAAGATGTTACTCTGATTTACAAGAAATCGTAAAAGTTCAAGAAACCAATGTTAAAACAAATGATGACAGGATATCCACCTATATTGCTAAATTGAACAGGGATCGACTACGTCTGCTTCAACGTATATCTTCAACAGATATTCATTTATAATTAAACAGTATGTAATCGAATTAGGAAACTCTATTTTAAAGGAAAATATAATGATTCAATATGTTTCAATGTTTTATTTTTTAGTACTTATCCATTGCAGTAACATTCCACTACTAAATTGTGTTTTAATGTTTTGAATGACAAAAGAAAAAGTCAAGATTTATATGCATAATATTTGTATTTACAATATGTCATTATACCATACATAAAGTATTCTATTTGTCAAATGTAACAATGGAATAAAACTTAACATATTTACATTAACAAACTTCTCAGATTTATCTTGATTGCAATTTAGTTATTACATGATATAATATGCTGGGATGTTTAATAAACGATTGATTAGTAAATAAATCAAAGAATAGATTGCTCGTCAATATGATTAATTAATTTAATTATCCAGAACGTAAAATCCTATGCAAATAAAATGACCTATAAATTAAGATTAAAATGGTACACAAAAGACAAACTAGTTTTATAATATAAAATCTTCATGATATTTTTAAAAGTAGATTCTTTCAAATATGGATATAGGGTAAAGCATATCTGAATATGTATACTAGCATTACAGCAGTTTCACAGAATACTTTGTTCTTGAAAAGTTACAATCCTTTTTTATGTCAGAATAAGTAGCTGTATTTTGTACTAACGTTTTTTGGAACTTGCACCCAAAAGAACCAATACATCTCTCTAGTATGTTGTCCATTTATATTACGTACTTTTACGTAAAATATTGGTACAAAGCTTTTAAAGACTTATTTGTGAGACTAATATTCCTAGGCACATTATCCTTTGTATGTTTCCTGTTATTGTGCCATTATAAAATATTATCAAAGTACAAAGTTCATTGTACTTGTTTCTAAAAAGCATCTTCTTTAACCAATCAAGTCAATATATAATTCTTTGATGCAACAATATTTTGTTTGCAATTATTCATAAACAAATAATAAAAAGTAAATGTGTGACTTCAATTAACACTAAAATGAAGAACATTATGCAATAAAGAGTGTTAAAAATATGATAAGCTTGACATTTTTAAATTATTACATTTAGAACAGAACAAAAGTCACTGATATTTGTCAATCTATAAAATGTCTTCCTTTTGTAAAGGTAAAGCTATAAAGTTTAAAAAGTTTCAATAACTTATAAAAACTTGCAATGCTGTTGTATTTTATTTAGAATTATATGGAGGATGAATTGTACGTCGAGCCGATGGTTGCCTCTGCCTAGACAAAAACGACTGGCCTTGGCTTGAATTGAGAGCTGCAAGATGTTGATCCATAGTCCCACGGTGACAACTTAAACCCAAATGGTAAAATGCTGATATCAAAGATTTTTCTTCCATTTCACCAATTAATTTACTATCCTTTAATTTTTGTTCTAGATCTTCAATGATTTTTCTCTTTTCATTTAACTGATTGCGTAGAGTTAGCAATTCAGAAGCGGAAGAAGCATTTTGTTTAGGATCCAGGCTTTTAATAACTGTTTTAGCCTTCTCTACACACTTTTTGTAACGTTCGTCTAATACTGTGTATTCATATTCCTTACGAGTTAAAGCTTCTTGAGCTGTAAGTGCTTTTTGTTTTTGAGCTTGTAATGCTGTTTCTCTTTCTTCCAATTGTAAAGTCAAGCGTTCTCGCTCTCCCTGTAATTTTCTTAAGTCATCTTGTAAATGAATTATCTTTTGATGCAAACTAATACCATCAACTTTATCATCACTTGGTTGATTCTCAGAAGCCTCTTCCAGTCTATTTTCCAATTCAATGATTCGTTGATTAGCCTTGCGAACGTCGCCCCGTAGTAAATTAAGTTTTTCTTCTGAGTCATCCAATAATGCTTGAACAGAAGGTAACTTTTCATCACTACCTTTTTGATTAAGTTTCAACATTTTGTTTTCATGCTGAAGCCTGAGTAATTTTTCCTTAATCTCGGGAGGAATCATTTCTGCATTAGCAACAGCATCAACAGTGCTAGGCTTGGTCATATTTTCAACTGCCTGTAACTGTGTGCACTTCAACTCCTCATTTGTTTCCTTAAGGGCATCTCTTTCAATGACCAATCGATCCCTTTCCCTCTGTAAAGCATTCAGTTGGGCTTCCATTTTCTTAGCTTCAAATTCTAATTTATCAGATTTATTACTTTGCTCATCTAGTTTACGGTGTACTTCGGCGAGCTGTTTCTTACAAAGTTCTAAATGATTACGTAACATAGTAGCACGTTTAGCCTCTTCTTCATACTCCATATTTGACTGCATGTATTCCAAATTTTTATCTTCTAGGATCTTTACTTGCCTCTTTAGATCACTAAAGTCTTCCATTTTCTTTTTATATGATTCTATAGTTAGTTCATATTTAGTTACTTTATCAGCAGTCTCTCGTAAAGCATCGATCTCATCTTTTAAATGATTTGCTTCATCTGCAGCTTTTTGCAGATCGTCTTGTCTTGATTGCAACTCTGAAACTTCCTTTTCTAAAAATTCAACCTTTAACCTATAATCGTCTCTTGATGTTTCTAATTTAAATATTTCATCCTTAAGTGATTCAACTTGTTTACGAAGGCCAGAATACTTCAAGCTTGAACCAGAATCTTCTGGATTTTCGAATTCTTCCAGTCGTTCCTGTAACTTCTTGTTTTCTACCGTTAATCCTACTTTTTCTTCTTGTAAAAAGGATAGTTGTTGATCGAGTTCATGACATCTTTGTGCCAACTGATCTCTTGAGTCAACAGCTAACTGAAGCTCAGCCAACAACCGTTGATGAGTACTGTCCCCGATATCCATTGATTCAAAACTAAGACTGGCTCCCAAACTAAGTCGTGGACCATGCATGCTACCTTCTAATTCTTGAATACTTTGCATTATAACTTGTTGTACCACTTCTTCCATACCCATTATTCGAGTAATGTATCTTTGTTTCTCGTTGCAGTTGACGGCACATCCCAATACCAATTGTAAGAGTCGCTGTAGTTCATGCTCATCACAGTGCTCTCCGATCTTAGTGGCATCCGGTTTAGCATAGCCGGACAGTTGTTGATTTAGACATTCTACATAATATTCCATTACTGCTTCTACAATCTTCTTTAAGTTACTTACTTTCAGACGCCAATTGGTGCCTACGTCGGTTTTAATTTTCGACTTCCATGCAGCGGTGAACCATTCGGGTGCTATCTGTGCCAGAGCTTCGGCAAGAGCCACGCCGTCACTTATGTCTTCGGCTGAAGCATGTGCTGCTTGAAGATCAAATGTATCCAGCCATTTAATTAAGCTACCTAATTGTTGGTCACCCATTTTTACTTCTCAGATCTGAACCGCTGAAAAGTCTTGAAAGGGTAGCTTAATACTTTTTCTTTTTAGCTAGCAGACCATCTGTTTGATATATTTAATTAAGCCTTTTATCTAGCGCTGTATTACCGTGTATCGTATAACCATATACTGTCAAATAAGACATTAGACGTCAGCACGTGATAGCAACTTACGATACATTCCAATCGGCACCGTCCGATCAACTTCTTTTCAAATCACAATCTTCATCCCAAAGGTTGAGTGGATTTAGAAAATCACAGATGTTAATCTGTACCCTAGATTTTTTGTCTTGTCCTGTCTGTCAATACAAAGTAAAAGTACTGCACACGACTACACATTTCCCCTCCCTTACCTCTTGCCTGTGTGTGAATGCATGCATATGAAGTTACTATATCAGAGAGTAGCAGTCACAGCAGAGTGCATGAGGAGTTCTCAATCAGTCGATAATGTCTGAATCTAACGGGTAAATAAAGCTGCATATAATTCCCAATGCTGACGTCGAAATCAGTGAGGGCGTTAAATACGGTTTACAGTTTCTGAGCATCCTAAATAGGCAGTCTTTCGATACTATAGTTTATGGACATCCTTATAAATTAAATATGGCGGACAGGTCAAGTTCGGATTCGCAGCGAAGAAGGAAGTAAGTAATTAATACAATTTAACGTTTTTAAGTAACAATTGTATAACAATATTGTTAACAAAACTTCTAAATAGAACTCAGTGATTATTACCTAAGGTGAAACTATAAAATGATTAGTAAAGAAGATTGCAGTATACACCAGAAAACCTGGAAGGACTCTAATGCTTGTAAACAATACTTTTCTAGTAATTGAACACTGTGATTTATGTGTACATTTAGATGCTGTTTGCTACAATAATTCAATAATTTGTTTTTATACATGTGGTTTTATCAGAGTCCACGTTCATGAAACTGTGAATGTCATTTTGATGTTTGTTTCTTGCAGGCGCAATAGAGAAAGACATGACTATCCGGATAGAGATGACACACAGTATCATGCCAAAAGAAAGAACGACAGGACATCCCCAAGAAGAGACGACAGATCCTCAAGAAATAGAGACTATGACAGTAGATCAAAAAGAAATAAAGACGAAAACAGTAGAAACAAGGATTTCAGGCGAGAAAAAGATAAGTCAAACGATAGAAACAGATTTAGCGAAGTAAAGGTAAAGAAAGAGCCTTCTCCTGAGTGGGGCAAGTCTAATTCAAAGGAACAGTCCAAAAATAAACCACAGGAAAAAGAGAAACCTAATTACGAATTATCAGGAAAATTAACAGAAGATGCAAATACAGTTAATGGTGTAGTAATTAAATATGCTGAGCCACAGGATGCACGTAAACCTAAGCGAAGGTGGAGATTATATCCATTCAAAGGAGAGAAAGCTTTACCTACTCTGTATGTACATAGACAGTCAGCATATTTAATGGGCAGAGATCGGAAGGTAGCAGATATACCTTTAGATCATCCTTCATGCTCCAAACAACATGCTGCACTACAATTTCGTTTAGTTCCTTTTCAAAGAGATGGAGGAGGAGAAGGAAGGCGCGTACGTCCGTATCTTATTGACTTGGAATCTGCCAATGGTACATTTGTAAATAATGTAAAATTGGAGCCAAGAAGGTATCACGAATTACTGGAAAGAGATGTAATACGCTTTGGATTCAGCTCCCGAGAATATGTACTACTTCATGAACAGAGCAGAGATGATGCATTAGATGACGACGTTCCACTCGCCACTAATACAACGCAGGTATGATTCCAACTGAATTGTGGTTATTCAATTGGAACGTTAAGGTATCACTTCAAAAGGTATTAACCCTTAGCACTCCGTTGGCTCCACTACAGAGACATTCGTCATAACGTTACGAAACTTGCGGAGCGCTAAGGGTTAAAAATGCAACTGAAACTTATTTACTAATGATTATATGGTATCTCTTGGTTTTAGTAACAAATCTATTCTGTGAGCTGCAAAAGTGAAACCTGTGATCTTACAATCGGCAAAGATACGTCGATGTAGAACTGTCTTGTAGCTGTGCGGATTATGCACTTATCTTCAAGATAGTTGTTCTACAATGGTTAGACATGAAGGTTTAGAAATAAAATAATTCCTGATAAATCTTTAGAAAAAGAAACAAAATTTTCTATTATCACTTTAATCCGATGTTTATGGTCGTAAATTATTAAGAACATTTCACAAGACTTTGAATGTACAGTGCAGGATGACGTTCGATGAAAATATTGCATACTTATTAACAGGAGTAGTCGTGTTCAATACAAAGGAACTTTATACATACGTGCAATTGTACAAATGGACTACTGCAAATGGCAGCGATAAACAGCTACGTCCGTCCTCCCGCACTGAGCAAAACGAGGGAAGTGTATTGATGCTAATGTAATTATTGAAACTAATTAATTATACGTTGTAGAGATTAATTCTGATGAAATATAAATAAAGTGAGATATGCGCTCTTGATTTATTTTGTTTTTTTACAGTCATCATGTTCTACATGTACCGACGTAAATGCTAACGATTGTCGATCGATTTCTAGACACGAGCTTTCTCGCGATATGTAATTGAATTATTTCCGTATTTCCTGCAGACCGAAAGTACAAAAGTCTCGAAATGCATTGATTTAAATTAGGACTAATCATACGTTATCTTAAATCGGAGAAAAATATATACAAAAATAGTATTCGATTTCTAAATCGACTTTGTGTAGACTAACAAATATATTTATTCTCTAGGAACAATAGATATGTGCATGTGGTATACTTGAAATTGGAAGTGGTTATCAATGGGAAGACCGTACTACCTACGACTTTTCGAAATAGCTCGCAATTGATCAATGAGTCCTCGATTATAAACCGCAAAACACGTAGAATTATTTCCAATAACGTTCGACCAGAATGACCAATTGATGACATGATGAGAATAAATTATTGGACATTGTTTTCATTCGAACCATTCGTTCGATAGTTATAATACTTTATACCGCGAAAGAAATATTTCTAATTCGTAGGTAAGATTTAAGACACGTGGATGGCGCGTCGCCAAAACATTATTTACAATATCTTAAAACTAAAGCAACGAGATTCGTTTATCATGACTCTTGCATATCAACGTCTCATCCACTTGTTTTGCACTATTTCGATTACATACTATAAGAATCCCATTCTTTAAATCTCCATGTCATGGTAAAATTACTTCAAGATCAACTTTATATATCATTCATTGCGCAAAAACTTAACAAGAACTTATTTCCTACTTATTGTCGAGCTTTCGATATGACATTTGTACAATGAGTAGTTGGAAACTCTGTCTGGTAGACTTCGATTCAATAAATACATTATTAAAAATGCGCCTCGTAGGATATTTGGCGGTGAATAAAAATGACTTTATAAATGTACATAGTGTGGCAGTAGATAGCTCCGTAACCGCTGCGTAATCGATCGCATTGTGATTCTCCATTTATGTCCATCCATGTTGATATCCACGGGGACCAGACCAATGAAATTCCCAAGGAACCGAGTCGACGAATCCGAGCTCCGGTCTCTAAAAAGCGCAGGATGGATCGACACCCGCGTTTTCAAAACTTTTACTACCCTACCATATTTTTTTCCTAAACGTTACGCTCTACGTTTTGTTAACTTTTGCCTATCCGTTGATTTCTTTTTAGTTCATCCACGTTTCCCAGAATGCCTCCAGCCAGTAGTGATTCAGACAAGACGTCTTGCGAGTTTGATCGAGCTGGACAAATACAGACCACCTAGAGGAAGATTGGCCTTGGCCTTGGCCAAGATATGAACCTTTCCCGAAGGACCCTCTAGGACGCGTTTACCCTGACGGCCTCGGAATTGATATTTGTGTATGTGACAGCGTCGCAGCTATCATCAACTCCAGGGGTTTGCCTCAATAGGTTCAGGAGTGCACTGTTGATCACTAGAGGGATGTTCGCCTTGCCATTCTGCAGGGTGGAGTGGGTCCTCTGCAGCTTTGACAAATTATTGTTCCCCGGGCTGTCGCCCGCAATGCCGTTGACGCTCGAATTATTGTTTCTGAGCAGCACAGCAGTTTGGGAGTTAATTATCAAAGATCCAGATTTAGTTTGGGGGGCCAAGCTCGCGGAAGAGCCGAGCGAACTACAACTCCTGCCTTCCAAGCTGGATCCGCAGCCAATCTCGTCGATGGTGTCCCTTTTGCATCTGTGCCGCTCGCTCAAGGACGTCAAAGAGTCCCTCTTCAGCGGAGACTTTACGGCGGAACCATTGATTAACTTCAAACTGTCCAGGGTGTTACACTTTTCGCCGATACTCGTAATGGAAGCCCTGGTACGCTCCGGCAGATTCAGGCTGGAGACCGACGCTCTTTTGTGGCACGTCTTCCGGTTCCCCTTATCACGGTCCTCCTCCTGCGCCTCCGTTTTCTGGCAGCTCGTCTCTTCCCTTTGCTCCACCTTCGAGCACCCGTTTTTATCTGCATTCGATAAAGGAGATTTAAGTGTGAGGTCAAGTGCGGAGCTGCTCGAAAATACGAACCTGAGATGCAAATCGACCGTGGTATCTCGTAATCTCCCGTAAGAACCTCCCTCGGTACAAATTCTCCGCTGTCGGTTAACAACTCTAAATACTTGGGCGCTTCGCCCGAGGAGTGAAAGCTCACGGTATTTTGCGAATCCTGAAGGAAGGGCTGCATATCGCGACTTCGCTCGGAACTACTCGACTTCCACGAATTGCCTAGAAATAGAAGGACGCCCTGTGATATCGCGACAACGAGCCAAACGGATCTTCAACTCGTTTAAATGGCTATGGCGGTAACAAGAGGTAACGGAAAGTAAATACAAAAGTAATGCTCAAAAGGTGGACGTACGATTTGTCGCTAGTGCAACGGGCAATTCTTATCGTGGCTGGAGATTTGCATAAATAATCGAGGCCTCGGTGGGGAAAGTCATACCGTAAAGTACAGAGAAACGCTCAAAGTTCCACAATGGTGACAGTCCGATCGGAGAGACCTACCTGAGTTGTTATGATTTTGATTCTCGTCAGCAAAGTAAGCCATGTTAGACACGCCTGTAAGCACGAGCCATGCAATGGTCAGTATGTATTCAAGCACACATTAATATATGAATTATTGATTAAAGAGAATGTAATCGATTGCGGCCGACTCGCCGTCCTCTTACAATCGCGTGTGTTAGCCCACGATGTCTGATAGAGTGCATGCTTGAGCCGAAACGAGATAAGGAACAATTAACAAAAAGGATAGAGAGAACATGGTAAACGTGACAACTGGGACGCGTAACGCCGCAAAGTAACGAGTCTGACGTAAGTCACGTGTCGAGCGGCTCGACGGAGACCAGAACTTATTAGCGATACTTTTGCGAACTGAACAAGAGACTATTCGAAGAAATTACTCTTCTCACGAGGGGAGACTCTGTTCGGACTCTCGAACGTAATCACTGCATGCTGCAAAGTGTGGCCTGTGCGATGCAGAACTTAGGGAGGTGAAAGAGCGACCCGGTCGCGATACGCACCTCTTCTGGCCAGGTACTGGCCCGCGTGGACGGGGTTCAAGATGGCATCCTCGGTGTTGCCACGAAGAGCCACGATCTGCTCCAAGCAGACCTTAAAGCTGGGCCTGGCATCCGCGGAGCTCCAGCAGCGCAGCATCAGCTGATGAAGCGCCGGTGGACAATTCAAGGGCTTGGGAAGCCTACCTCCAGCTCGCACATGGTGCAGGACCTCTAGGTTCGTCCTGGCCGGATATGGCTGCTGGCCCAACGACGTGATCTCCCACATCAGGACCCCGAAGGCCCAAACGTCGCTCTGCGACGTGAACACCCCGTCCACGAGGGACTCCGGGGCCATCCAGCGGACTGGCAACAGTCCTTCACCTTCCTGAATAGAAACGCATCGTTACGTCGCGTCTCGTTACGATACCATCGACGTAGCAATGTGTCTTACCTTTCGGTAATAATCATTTTTATAAATATCCCTAGCGAGTCCGAAGTCGCCGATCTTGACGACGCGGTTCTCCCGATCCCTGGTTGAGACCAAGCAGTTCCTGCAGGCCAAGTCGCGATGCACGAAGTGGAGCTCTTCGAGGTAACGACATCCCCTGGCCACGTCCTCGCACATTGCCAGCAGATCCTGAAGTCTGAGCGCCCGCGAATCCGTAATGAGCAGGGAGCGACTGGCTCTCAGGTAACTCAGTAAGTCTCCGGCTTCCATCAGCTCTAGCACCAACAGCGGGGGGTCGGTGTCCAGACAGACACCGAGAAGTCTTAGTACATGCTTATGTCGGAAGTGACTCATTAGTCGAGCCTCTTGCAGGAATTCCGTCTTCTCCTGCGCCGATGCACCCTTCCTGAGGGTCTTTATGGCCACCGGAGTTACTCCAGGCCCTTCCAGGTCCTTTGCGTTTCCTTGAAATACCTGTGAAAAATAGTTGGGATGAAGGGACCTGTTCTTTTTCATTGCATTTCTTCACTTGCACCCGAATACCGACCTCTCCGAACGCTCCGCTGCCTAAGAACTTGGCTAACGTAATTTGTTCCCTTCGTATCTTGGGCAGGGCCAAATCGTCGCTGTCGTTCTGGATTGCGGACGCGTAAAGTGCGTTCGATTGCACGAAATTCCCCCGTGGGATCTCGCGAAGGGTCGCCAATTCTACGTCGGACATGACCGGGGGCAGGACGGCTTTTTTGTCTTCCTTGCGTTGTCTATACACTGCTGGGTGGAAGATCAATTCTTGAAGTAAGGACACGATTCCTCAGAGGTCTAGATTAAAAGTTGAATCCGGTGCAATAACTCACGGCAAAGGAAGTAGCAGAAGCAGAGGAGCATTATGGTTACAACCGGCACGCTCAATCCTAAAACCAGACCGAGGTGTTGTTGAGCGACCAACATCCCACCGGAAGTTTCAGACAGGTCGATGACGTTGCTCGGCTTGCTCCACGTCCCGAAACCGTATGCGTTCTTCGCTCTGACGCGGAAAATGTACTTTTGATCCATCTCCCCCATGATGATCCAATAATTGTCCGTTCCGTTATAATATAAATGCCACGAATCGCTCTGATTGCGGCCGTTGTTCTGACTTTCCAGATCTTCTGCCAACTTCCCTTCGAGGCGGTACAAGGTCACTTGAGATCCATGAGCCTGAGCTGGCTCCCAATTCAACTGGTACACCGAATTCCGGAGCTTTGTTACCGTCGGCATACCCGGAGCACTTGGTACGTCGCCTGGAATAAAAAACGATAAAAAAACAATCCACGATCTTAATTGTCTAAAAGTTTCAGGAAGCCTCGAATGAATTCCATTACTTACCAAGGGTCTGGAAGGTGAATCTGGCGTCAGGGGGCCACGTATAGTCCTGCTTGTAGTTTGGATACCTCAGAACAAGGCGAAACTTGTACAAGGCTCTTGGTTGGAGACCCTGAACGAAGTATTCCACCTTGTCCTTCTCGATATTTGGCTCATCCGCTACCTGCCATTTGTCCATGCCGACAAGAGTGTACTCCAGGGTGTAGTCGATAGTCAAGTTTGGCGTTGGTACCCAAGAAATGTTTAGAGAGTTCACGCTGACTACAGTGAGCGTCAAATTGTTTGGTTCCGGATACATCTTGACGATCTGGCCTGAACTCTCGCTATAGGCATCGCTAAAATGAGCCGGATATGCGCGCACGTACACTATGTACTCTTGACCGGGTAATAAGGGCTGCAACGTCTCTGAGAATGTCCCGTCCGGCCTTTCCGTGTGCTTTACGAACTGCTCTCCCTTCGGTCTTACCCCGTTGATCAGGCGAACCGTTCTCCAGTGTACCTCGTACCTTACGGCAGCGGCGTTCAAGATTTTGGGTGGTTTCCAGTAGACCGCTGCTAAAGTCGGAGTAAGTGCTTGGACGGTCACGTTTTCTGGAGTGGTCGGTGCACCAGCTCCCGTTCTCAAAATGATACCAGGACCAAACTCAAGACTCAGGGACTCCGCATCGCCGTAATAATTACTCAGCGCCAACTTGAACCTGTACCTAGTGAAGGGCTTCAGGTCCTTCACCTCAATCTCCCTGTCGTAGGTCTGCAGTTTCAACATTACATCTTTGCTCTCGCACCTGTTGGGGTCGTTCTCCAGACACCGGGACACGTGGATGGTGTACAACGTCGCAGGCAGATTGTAATCTTCACAGCCGAAATGTGCCACGGGTCGGGGAAGCTTCACGGTGATGCTGGTAGCCGTCTTTGAGGTCTCCTCCACGTTGTAGGGTACTTGTTGAGGTATCAGGCAGTCCGATAGAGGATATGGCTGAAGCGACTTTCCGATCGCCCTGATGCTGCGCGCGTTTGAGAGGTAAAGCCCTTTTATCTCCACATCGTCGGGATACACCTTGTTGGCGTGGTAAATTTCATTCGTGTCCGCGTTCGACCAGTAGACGTTTATTTTGTCGACGCTCAGAGAGGTCGGGGGAAGGCCTCTGTTGAATCCCGGGGTGATCATCAGATTGCAGACGCAGCCCTCGATGTCGGCGATGTTTAAGTGCCCTTCCAGCGAGACCCAATAGACGACGGGGCTCTGAGCGTCCGTATTGTCGATTGCCATCACGGGCCTAACCGAAGGTCTGAACGGACACGAGCAGTCCTCGTTGTGGTTAAAAAATGGCTGAACATTCTTTCCAGATAGATCAGATCGCATTATCACTCCCCGGTCGCTTTTCGTTAATTCTATCCAATAAATCGTCCTGCAGATAAAAAAAGATTCGTGTAATAGCTTCAACTCTTGATAGTAATTAAGTCATTTTCGAAGGAAACAATTTCAACTTACCCGGTATGTGGTGATACGTCCAAGTTCACGATTCGGCTGCTCTTCGTAGCTATAGTTTCGTACTTGAGAAGTCCCGCCTCCCACGCAGTTAAATCAAGTTTCATGATACGACTACCGCTAGTTTCTTTGTATCCTGACTCAGTCCAGAACAACGTCCTCGAGACCCAATCCACGCACAGACTAAGCGCAGTGTTGTTTAAAGCGAGGATTTTCGTGACGTTCGCACCGGTTAGATAGGATGTCACCATCTCCTGCATCTCGTTTATCCAGTAGATTTTATTCTCCGCCGCCAAGTATGTCACCTCCACGGCTATATGTCTGGTAATCGTGTAATTGATTTTCTGGTCTAGATCGGTGACTCTAACAGCATCTAACGTGGCGACCAGCAATCGAGGAACTGGATTCTCGTATTCCGTGGACACCGCTATCGTATCGGTATAAGGACCTGCTCCGACTTCGGTGTAGGCTTGCACTTGAAAGTAATAAGTCATATTCGGCAACAACTCGCGAGCGGTGAACTCTAATTTAGTGGCTGGCACGTTATCGCTATCGCAAATTCGTATCTCGGCGTGGTCCATAATATACCAGCACTGAACTATGTATCCTTGTATTAAACCATTGGTGAACTCCGGTTGGTCCCACCTGGGAAAAAAATATAGTTTAAGTCCTGGCTTCCTTTTTGAAACAGACGTATCGATTCATTGGTAATTCGGTTCAAGATCTAAACGTTACATGAAATATCTACCTGAATATTATAAATATCTCGGCGCTTTCGCTTAAGGGTTCTTTATGAAATTCGACGAAAGCTCTCGCATTGGTGGGCTGGGTTGGAACACTCTGCGGTGATCGCAGAATCTTCCTTGTGTGATGAGAAGTCTCCCAGTAAGTGAAGGCCTTCACGGTGACCTCCAACACGGAGTAAGGTAATATCTGTTCCGAATTGTTATACGGCATCGTCGTCTCCGTCGTGATTTCAGCGTTCGAGTTCGTGTTAATATAGTCTGCGAATTTGACCTCGTAAAATACCGTTCCGTAGTTTATATTTTTCACGGGGTCCCAAGATACGCTAAAGTTCCGCCAAGTCCCCTCGACCCGGATGCTGTCGAGATTCACAGCTTCCGGCAGGACCACTATTGTTTCTGACGTTAAATTTTCTGGATACTGATGCAAAGCTGGATCCATGATAGCGACCATGTGAAGTCCCGACAGGGTAATGCCGTTGATTACGGCTGTATTTTGGCCGGATAAGTCTCCTATCACTGCATTTTGGTCGTCTTGCAACCATAGCAAGTGTTCAGAGAAGTAACATAATGGTCCCTGCATGTTGGGATGCTGCAGCGCAGAGACCTAGATGACAATTGTTGAGGTTAATGAGATTCAGAAAAAGTTGGATTTATAGTTGTAAGAATTACAAACTATCTGCACCTTCTCCGGCAAAATTTTATGGCTCATTGGAATTCTTTCCGATGTTGGTGCCCGATAGACGATGGATCCACTCTCGTAGCTTCTAACGATCCAGTACACGTATCTGTTTTCCGTGTCTAAAGTTAAACCCATAACCTGCTTGCCATTGAATATCTCATCGGAGTGGTAGTATCTTCTATCTTGACCATTAAGTCGAGCTACTTCGACTGCATGGCCGGTTGACCAATACAGATAAGCCTCCAAAGAGTCGATCATCAGTTCTTTCACTATAGCTAGAATCGACATCGGTTCCTGTTGCGATCCGTTCAGGTTCGCTCTGGTTATCTGGCAAAAAATCAGTCGAATAAGACAGGACATATCATGAAGAGCAAACAATCTTCAAACGACCCCCAACCAACCACTCAACATACAATTTGCTGCTTCGGATTTGCCCAGTAGAGCTTCTTGGATATCCAATCCACGGCGACACTTCCGACGGAATTAATATTGAACTTCGTCTTCTGGTGACTGGTAATATTGTAGCGGTACAATACCGAATTATTTCCTACTAAATATAGTATGTCTTTGTACCAAGTAATGTCGATAATATGGTACTCATTTTCCGAATCCTTCAAGCTTTCCCTATGAATGAGGGTGTCGATATTCTCTCCAGTTACATCGCTTCTGAGCAAACCCTCGTTAGCTGACCACAAAATGGACGCATACGAGCCATCCCTGGGATCTCTGGAAGCGTTTAATACAATTAACGAAAAGTTAAGAGAATTGTAACAATTACTGTAAAAGAAAAATGAATCTTCATACCTCAACGTGCGTCCTCGAAATTCGGTGGACCAAGGACCTCTACCCGCGCTCGTATAGGCAGCAGCTTTGATGGAATATTCCGACCTTTCTCGCAGATTGTGGACGGTATGCGACGACCCCGCAATCTCATGTTGACGTATGATTTCACCGGTCGATTCATCCTTTATTTCTAACTCATAGGACCAATTCTGCCAAGCTCCTTTACCCTGACCACCGAGTAAATGTGGAGCCTGCCAAGAAACCTTAGCTCTTTCCGCACCGAGAACTGCTTGGACCCCAGTTGGCGGATTCACTGGCACAGGAACGGGTTGACTCGCATCCATCAACACGTTAATACTGACAAACGAACCGTCGGATCTGTCCAAAACATCACATTCATTGATCAATCCCCCGTAAAAGATCTCGGAAAAACGACCGACCTACCTGTCCGGATACGCGTTGTGGAAATATCTGTTCTGCCCCGAGTGATAACCTTCGGTTAGCACTTCCTCTCCATTCGTCCAATAGAAGAGACCATTAGCCATGGCAAGAGATACCACGTTCTTGAACTTCGGCTGCTGAGTGTTTGCCCTAAGGTCAAGAACCTCCCGCCCATCCAAGGACACGGACATTACCGTGTTCTGGGTATGATGGGGCACCAAAAGACGAAAATTTGTGTGGTCCACCGTGAACGCTCCCAGATGGGCATCTTCTAGTATCAAGTAGGGTTGCACCTGAAAAGAGACCTCGATTCGTTGAAGCAATCATTTCGAAACCGTTCAGAGATGCTTATTTGCTTTTTAATCGCAGCACCTCGTGCTTGATGCCATTACTGATGTCAGCTAGGTCTAGTCTGTAGAGTCCTCCCCTAGTGACCCAGAACAGGTACCCATTGTAAGGATCCACTTCGATGTGCGAAGGCCTCGTTAAGAAGCCCGCCATTGCGACGGTCAGTCCTCTTCCATCCAAGTTGCACCTCGCGATCTGCCAGACGGTGGTCGCGTGCTTCACTTCTCCGAGGACGTAAAGGTGCAGATTCAACCAATCGACGGATAAGCTCAGGGGCTTGAAATTGGCCTGACTAGGCTGCAGAATCACAATTGGCTCGGAGGGTTTCGTGATCGACGTTCGATAGACGTATCCCAGCGCATCCGAGACGAAGAGCTGAGCAGAGGCTACATGGATGGCCACTCCTCGGATCAGGCTGTCCGTTTGGTACACCAAACTGGGCTCGTCCAACATGTCGGCGCCCTGCTTCGTGACTGTGTGCTCGCCTCCCAGGATCAAAATAGGTTGCTGCATGTCCTTCACTGAATATTCCAAAGTATTTATCGTTAAACGAGTAGCCAGAAAGCTAAGAACGCGAGGTCAACGATACCATTCTCTGGATGAACCATTGATACCAATCCCTGACGGACTCACCAGCAGGTTCTGGGGTCGTGGATATGTAGATAACCGCCGGAGGACCCTCTCCCACGCCGTTCCTCATCGTCACACTGACGGAATAATTTTTATTCGGCTCCAGGTTTTGGAACATGTAATGATCGGTGTTCTCCGCCGCGGGGATGTCCTATACGACGATCAGAAATTTTTACGAAGCCCAAAACAAGCGCGACACCACTTCCCTTTGCGAAACCCTGGTTAGAGTAATTGGCGGACAGGATACAGAACGCCATGCCAGAAACAGATTGAGATCTCGCATTACCTGGTTCGATCAAGACTCCGGTTAGTACGGACGAGGTCGGAGGTTAGAGCGTTAAGGGTGGAGCAAAGCAACCGGTCGAGATTTCGCGTCGATCATGCATTACTCCTCGATCGGGCATACCGTGTCACGCTTAACATTGATCCTCGGCGGCTGTGTGAACTTGGAATCCAATTTGAGGTACAAACAAAATTAACAGGCTTATTGGAATGTTTCTGAGATGTAGACTTTTGTGTCATGTTGAGTTTTGTTTGTGACATTTTTTTTACAAAAGCCAGAGCTGTTAAAAAAAATAAACAAATTCCGAAATCGTGGAAATTTGAATTTTTCGACTCTAATGGAATCTTTGACGTTAGGAAAATTCAGAGCCTCCCAGAACCTCGAAAACGTTAAAATGGTCATTTTCGGAATTTGTTTATTTTTTTTTTAACCGCTCTGGTTTTTGTAAAAAAAAAAAAATAGCACAAACAAAACTCAACATGGCACAAGCGACTACATCACAGAAACATTCCAATAAGCCTGTTAATTTTGTTTGAGCCTCAAACTGGATTCCAGGTTCGCACAGCCGTCCTCGGTTCCAAGGCGTTGGATCCGTGAGTCATTCGCTGCTAATTGACGAGTAAATCATGCTCGGTTTCTCGCGATCTATGGATCACTGGCGCGCGCGCATCGCGGGGCGTAAAAAAGGCCCGTCTATCAATCGTCCATGGTGTTACTCTTGAGTCATTCAACGACGCGACTATCTTCTACTCGTCAATCAAGCTCTCTCTAAGGGACCGGACATCGGGGAGGGACGTCGCTTGTCGAACCAGTCGCACGAATCGCCCGCCGGAACGGATCCGCGATTCGCTGGAAAGATGGGCAGCAGAGAAGTCGAGAAGAAGAGATCGGGTCGCCGATCGCTAAAGGGCCAGCGGTCGCAGCCAAGTCGTCGAGTTCTGGCGTGGCGTATACCTTAAGCTGGGAGTAGTCAGCCCCTTGCAGCCTCAGGACATAGGACAAAAGTGGCCCGTTCGGGAACGGACCCGGTTCCCAAGACACCGACACGCGGCAGCTGTCTACCGCTGCAGCTCTTACAATTACCGGTGCTGATGTCGGCAGGCCGGCCGCCAGGGTCAGAATTACCACGCTGGCCGCGGAGACGATGGGCTCCGGGTTGTGTTGCGAGGACTTCAACAGCACCGCCACTCGAAACTGCGAAACCAAAAGATGCCAGGATGAAACAGAATTCCTACAGGCGAGGGAAGATCGGGGGCAGGTAGTTACCCTGTACTTGGTGTAGGGCTGCAGGTTATCCACCAAGATCTGGTCGTCTTCTCCCCAGGATTGGTTTCTGCAGTACTGCCAGGTCTCTACGAGTTCCTCGTACCTCCATTGAACCAAGTACGAAATTCCACCACCTTGCTTTTTTATGTCGATGCCCTTCCATTCTAGTCTCAGCGACGTCGCGGTGAGCGAATCCGCCACCAGTGCTGGTGCCGGTGGTACCCCGATTTCCGCTATAAGCAAGTAATAATTTGGTTAATCAGAATTGAAATTGTTATTCGGTTTCCTTTTACAGCTTGGGTGTTGGGAGACGGAGGGGATAAGGTCTTACGAGATTCGACCTCATCCGGAGATCGACGGTTCCATCGCACACTTCGTTTTTCGCAGCCTGACAAAACATCATCGATTCACTCGATTCACTCGACGTGTCGCGATAACCTCGACGCATTCCTGTCCGTAACCACTGAAACCAAGACGGCAATTATATGTCGAAAATATCACCGAACTGTCATAATTCGCGGCGATAATGGTGAGTGCTAAAATGAAGATGGACGTGGCGAGTTTACTGACTAGGAACCCGCTGATGGACGAACGCGAGAGGGAGAAGAGCTTCAAGGAGTACAGCGCGATCTTGGATAACCTGAAGAGCTCCTTCGTAGATAGCTGGAAGACGAAGCAAAGCGACAACGGAAAGCTGGACGATTTCGAGCGCTTTCGCACTCTCGGGACCGGAGCTTTCGGTAGAGTCCTGCTGGTCCGACACAAGGTGACGTCCTGCTACCACGCCATGAAGGTCCTGAACAAAGGTAAGCTCATCAAGATGAATCAGGTGGACCACACGTGCAGCGAGAAGAGGGTGCTGCAGTGCCTGCGGTTCCCGTTCATCATGTACATGCAGTACTACTTCAAGGATAACTCCTACTTGTACATGGTGTTGCCCTTCGTCAGTGGAGGAGAAATGTTCTCACACCTGAGGAGGATGGGCAAGTTCGAGGAGAACCTGGCGAGGTTTTACGCGGCCCAAGTAGCTTTAGCCATCGAGTACATGCACCATTGCGACCTGGTTTACCGAGACTTGAAGCCGGAAAACATACTTCTAGAGCAGAACGGCTACATCAGGCTCACCGACTTCGGATTTTGCAAGATGATAGACGGAAGAACGTGGACTCTCTGCGGGACCCCGGAATATCTAGCCCCTGAAGTGATACTGTCCAAGGGATACGGCAAACCCGTGGATTGGTGGAGCTTTGGCATCCTAATTTACGAGATGAACGCGGGATACCCACCCTTCTATTCCCACGATTCCATGAAGATCTACGAGAAAATCGTAGCCGGTAAATACAGGTTCGCCAGCCACTTTGGCGACGACTTGAGGGACATCCTGCAGAACTTCCTTCAGGTGGACCTCACCAGAAGATTCGGGAACCTCAAGGGAGGCTGCTTGGATATCAAGAAGCATCGCTGGTTCCGAAACACCGACTGGATTAATATTTACAATCAGAAGGTGGAACCTTCGTTCGTCCCTAAATATGGCGGACCTGGAGATGCCTCCAATTTTGATAATTACGAGGAGGAGGCTTTGACAATAGAGTCTCAGGATCAGTACGCGAAAGAATTCGCTGAATTTTAGCAGTATTATCGGTAGTATTATGATAAGTAATATCTATGAAAGTACTAGTCTACAGTCGTTGAGAACGAAGCGTGCTTGTGTATACAACGTAACCCTGGTTTAAATACAATTTCTGTAATCGCAGTATACACGATAAACCCACCGCCAACACCTGTCGCCAATTATCAAGTAAACCTCGTATCACGATTTGTTCGTTTACCTTTTAATTGTTGGAAGTACCGATTCAACGCATCGTGACACCCCAGGACGCAGTACAGTTCTTTCGGCGACAGCAGCTCTTGCGTCCCATTCTGAGGATAACACGAAGGAGTCGCAATTATAAAGAAGATACACGCTGGATATATCGACACTCGTTTGACAATTGATAAGAAAACACTTACGCATACGGCCTGACAACTGGTCTCGAGTGCTTGTTGCCACGCGGCGCATCCCTTGGTACACTGAAACAGAAAGAAAGTAGCTGGATGAGATTGAAGTCTCATAGAAAGCGAGGAGAGGGCGACTCGTCTCAGTCGTCTCAGGGTCCCGAAGAAGCGCGTGGTCCTTGATAATTACTTATAAGCGATCTCAGCGTATCCGGCTAAGTGATGGATGTGACTTTTCGGTCTCCCATCAGGGGTTGGTTTTCTTAAGTAAACCACTCGAGCGTCGCTTCTCCCCTCGGCGAATCAACCTTCAATCTTGAGCCCGTATACCTCGATATACGTAGACCGATTCGTTTAAATTCCAACAACTAGCGCGAAACTCGGCTGCGGGCAAATATAAAACGACGTGGAAAAGCCGGACCTCGAGCATTTCTAGCGCTATTCGAAGTTGGCGGCATCCAAAGGTTAATCATGGGGGAATTCTTTGTGCTGACGTGGGTTCGAGAGCTCGCCTAGAACGCGGGAGAGATGATTTCATCGTCACGTTTCATTGTGTTCCACGAGGGGAGAATATCGCCTCGGAAGCAATAAAATGATGCGGTAACCGAAGGAGCGTCGCCGAGTCGCGTCTTCGGGTTTCGAGGAGGAATTTCGATCACCGCGACCGAGGTCGACCAGTGCCGGAAGTAAACACGCGGCCATAATTGCAGGTAGAACCGCGTGACATAATTCGCTCGAGTTAGCGGCGAATGAAACCGTGCCGTTTATTATTCTTCTCTTTCTTTTTCTTTTCTTCTATTTTTTTTTTCAGATCGTCCCCGCATACGGGGCGTACCCCAAGTGACGCCCACGTCGATTACGTGGGTCGGTACACCGCACACGGCATAGATTTGCGAACCGGAGCTTAACGCGTCGACGCAAAGAAAGAACGTCGACGTTCCTCGGCCTCGCCAAGGAAATGATCCAACCCTCCATCCAAGGATCGCGTTTGCTTCCGATTCGAATGAAGGCGCCACTCCAGAGTTAAAATAGCCAGACCCCCAATTGGCCAGGAAAGTAGCCTTAAGGCACTTCCATCGAATCCTTCGACAAATATTGAACGCACCGAGAGGAAGTCTCTCGAGTGGATCCCTCTTCGTCGGAACGTAAATACGCAGAAGCGATCGCGAGATGGAAAGACGCCTTCCATTCCAAAGGGATTTGCTTTGGCGCGGGTGTGGTGATTTTTAATGTAGCTTAACGCTTGCAGAAACGAGGTAAGTGGGGCAATCCGGAAACAATGGGATTGGTCTGGCAAAGTGGAATTCTTCGAAATGGATACCGAACTCCGACTCCGGAGTCATTTGCCACTCGAACGCTTTGACACGCAAGCCTCGGCATGGGGACGATTCGGAAGGCACTAGACGCACATAAATGACCGTCTGTCGGTGTCTCGAAAATAATAAGAAAATAGACGTAGACTACGTGGAGCACGTACGGATGCCATTATCGCGGTTACTCGTGCTCGTTATTACGCGCCCACCGGGTATGGTGCTCGGGGTATCACTTGGGTCAGCTCGAAAGTCCAGGGAATGAAAGGGATTCGCACTCGATAAACGCTTCTGGCTCGGCTTCCTCGCCACTTGCTTCGGCCAATCGATCGATTAATTGAAAACGCGACAATAAAGATAAAGCCGGAATCAACCGCGAGGCTAGGGGCTTCGCCGTTTCAAGAATTCCAGGGAATTCCGGGAAACTCGTGGATTTCATCGAACGTCGGTGATAACCACATCCGAGAGTCAATGAAAAAGTGCGAAATCGAGTCGAGAAGAGGGAAATGAAAAATGTTTCGGATGGTTTTTTCCTCCCTTTCTTTTACTGGCTCGGCAGCATCCGGTCTTGTGGGAAATTAAGATATCGGAGGAGGTTTAGGGAAAATGCCATTTCGGAGTTCTTTCGAGCCGGGTTTGAGAAAATCTAGAAATGGATTCCTCCTATTAATAGAGACGGAGGTTACCGGAGTAGCCGGACGGTGGAAAAAAAGGCAAAGCCACTGTGGCTGGACGCGACGGCCGCTAATTTCTCACTTCCTCATTAAATCCTCGACACATATTACGACCTGCCCAGGCCCTCGCCTGGGCACTTCACTCGCCGTAGATCGTAGATCATCGTTCCACAGACTACGACAGAACGATCCCGAGCTGTCTCTCCCTGCTTCGGGCACTTCCAAATCCTCCGTTAACACGACCCATCTCTGCCTTCATAAGCGAAGGTTAAAGGACTCGAGCCTAGAAAGAAAGATATAAATGATTTCACAAATTATCCACTTTCGTCTAGACAATAAGAGCACATCGGCATATAGGGCGATCTCTAGGACAATTAAATAACGTAAAATTGAATCGTCGAGAACTTTGTTCGGGATAGCGTCATCGGATTCGCGCAGAATTCGCGCTGCACGAACGCTGACGAGCGCAGCAAATCGTGGAGCTGAATCGGAGTTCCCCGTTATTAATAAAGCCCGCAACTGGCAATTGCACCGTTATCCGACAAATTGTTGTGTCCCCCACGGCTTTTCTACGAACGAACGGAAACGTTCTCGCCATCGCGCACCTCATATTCAGGACGCACACTGAGAGACGCATACAGAAAGTACGATGCAAATGCTTCAAAAAGCCTGCAACACCTATATATTTGTACCCAACAGTATACATAGGGCAGGCACTTGTTTTATTAAGTGCGTTGCGTGGCCATGTAAAAGCCTTGACACATACCTCAAGTAACAGTGCCCGAGAGCACAGCAATAAAAATTGACCAGTCGAATTGCCGAACATCGACGCCATATTGAATTTTCAGCAATTTGATTGGCCAGTTTTTACTGTTATGCTTATCTTGTGCTTATGCGAGATACCTGTAAAGGCTATAAAAAGTTAAATGCAACGTGGTTGCTGTATGCATCCTGGTGTACGGATTCACTTGTAAGTCGAGCTAACGATTCCAAAAGGAGAACAAACTGAAATCCAAGCAGATCTTTGCCCAATTTTTCAGTCCTTTTTCAGTAGCGTTTACGGCGGCGCCCATTCCCATGTTTGTAAATACCGAAAGGGTGTTCTTCCGAGCATCGTTATGTCGCCTGGTCGTTTAGGCTAAACAGCTCCTGGGACGGTCTAGGATCCGACCCAAATCATTCGCGCGCAGTCGGTGGTCCTGCTCTCGACTAGAGGGCTAAATGTCCTCAAATCTCTGGGGACAATTTAGGGGGTGAAAAGCAAAACGGGGTCGAACGTCGCGACTTCCAGATGCCCTAGATCCCCTTAACTCTGGGGCGCTTCAAGTGGAGAGACGCCAGCTCCATTTCCTCGTCCGGACGTTTGTATTATCCGGACATTGCAACAACCCGATTTACCTTTAAGTATCATTCACGTACGACTTAATGCAGGAGTAATGCAGACCTGCAGTGGTGGTACAGCGATAGTACAGAACTAGCGTTCAAATTGATGGCGCGACCGTACACTCAAAAAGGAGTCTAGCTAAAAAGGAAAACGAATTCCGGCTGTTTTAACCGGATTAGATCGTTAAACATGCCCTTACTGATGTTTCTAGTAAAATATTATCTGGCTGCGTTAACACTTTTAGTGGTAAATCCAATGAGAATTTTTGGATTTAAGAACAAGAATTTTCTACTAGAAGTTTAGATAGTATGGTTAAGGGATCTGATTAAGATAACCACATGTTTAACCAGACTTCAGTAATCTGAACGTTTAGTCATATTAAACCCTGCAAGTTTCTTAATCAGACTTGCTCATTAATGATAACTAGATACCTTTTAATCGGAACATTTTCTTGAGTACAGACTGATCTGTACAAATCAACGACACATAGACTAAAGCTCAATTCTAATTGATCGTTACAGTAATTCGTTTGCAAAAGCGATGGACAAGAAAGTTTGGAGACCGCGAACTTTTATCACCATGCTACTATCAACCCCTCGATTTGTGAACGTTCTCTTTGGAATCCATGTAGCAAACTTTTGCGGTACCACTAATTTTCGGAGTATTCCTACATTACGTCATGTGTGAACGATACATTGTCTCGTTAAATCGAGATGATCCATCTGCGAAGGAAAACGCAACGGTGAAAATGGCCTAATGTCCTTTTGGACATGAGCCAGGGAACCGCAAAAAGAGCGAGGGAGGAAATTGCACGAGTAGAAGCGCACGTTGGGCACACGAGGTAAGATTAAATGCCAACGAAGGTGCAACAGGCGGTGCGCATGAATTAACGAGTGCACGTTCCAGACCGAGCAAGGATTGTCGAGTGAAAGGGAATCGAGGGTTATTAACCATCGAAACTCCACCGCGCCGTTTCTGGCCCGGCAATTAGCCGGCTCGCTTCCTACGGTGGAGATACGCCCTGGTGGGTGTCCTTCCGGTCCACCAGGGCCGATTCCTGCCGATTCGTCGGAACCGAATTCCGTCTGTCCAACCAGTCGCGAAGGAAGCGACGTATTTGCGCACGCACCCGTTCGAAACAACGAGAGGTACGAGTAGATAAGAGTAGGTACGAGTAATCAGAGAGAAGGGAGTAAATGGTCGATTCGACCGGGTGAAATCCGGATTTCTTCCCCACCTTCCGTCGACTAATTTCGAATCGAACCCTTCGGCGAGACGTTCGACGTAAACGAGATCGTCACCCCGTGGAATCCCGCCTTCTCGCGTTTATTCGACCGCGTGGACACGCGGCTTCCCGTTTCGACTTCCGGAAGCAGCCCCTGAATCCGGAGTCGCACGGCAATTTGGCGACATCCGTTTTCGGGCGCTCTCGTACGCGATTCAATTTAGCGCACAAAGCCCTCCGCGCTTGGCGTCGGCGGCGGCCATTCTTTTGCTCGGTACATTCGTCCATCCATTCATTGTGCCCATGAGGAGTTTGTTTTTATTTGCCAGTTACTGCCTCCGCGGAGGTTCGCGTTGCGGACCGGGGGCCCCGGCAAGAGCGGAAGCGCTCTCATTGTTGTCGAGGGACGACATCCCTTTATTTCGGCTCTGGCCGGCACCCGTCCGTGGATTCGTCTGCCTGCTGATATCGGCCAATCTATGCGAGTCGCAAAGTCGAGCAGAAGATTCTCTCCGACAACGAACCTTGAGTATTTACCTGTTCGATTTTGCAGCGCACCCCGCATCCCACCTCCGAGCTGTTGTCATCTGTTCGATTCTGTAAAATAAAAAAGAAGTTAAATAACCCTCTGCTCCGATTTCCCGATGTTCTCACGAGTTTCGGGAGTTAGAGGGGGTAGCTAAACCGAATTTACATTCAACGCGACGGCTGTTAAATGCAAATCACGACGCACTTTTCGAGCGCCGCGTCCGGGTCACGGTATTAATTCAAAGGGCTAGGACGGAGGGTGAAGTTTTTATTCCCATGGAAACGGCAGCACGCTTCGCTCGCCTCCCTCGTTCGGCACCGTAAAATCAACAATCCCAATCGGACTACCCCCGGACACGCGGAGTGGTCCCACCTTTTCGTTTCCTCGACACCGGACGTGCACCTGTGTCCCGGAAGCGCGCGACCTACAGGTGTAACCGTGCAGCCGCGCCCCATGAGATCGCTTTGACCTGGCGACTCCTCTGTCGTTCTTTCGGATCCATTGGATTTTTTTACAGCTCGTACGCAGGTGCCGGGGCTATCAATTGAACCGGATGAAACAGTTTACTGTCTTTTAAACCCTGGCAAGCGATTCAATTTATTTTCTCCTGCCCTCGTAGGACGTCACGCCAAGTGCTCTGACGTCGCGGCCATGCGAGTGGACTTTTTTTCACACGTAGCGTCGGTGTGACCGCCTTTAAAAAAAGAAAAATGTAACGCTCGACAATAACGCCCGAAGGCGGTTCAATGTTTTCCATCGATTATCGTCTCCTCGGGGGTTTATATCAATTTTACGATGATTTTTAATTCCGGCATCTCGCGTTCCATTCTTCTCCTCACGGCTCGCAGTCCGTTTAACTTTGCACCCAATTAATCAATGCAAATCACAATGCGACCAGCGAGCCGCGACTGTCGTCGTGCCGCAACGTGATCATCGTTCACGTAATTCCTTTTCCAAAGTGCCTCGGAAGCTTCCAGGGTCTCTTCGATCGCCTGAAAAGTCGAAAACTAATGGATGTCTCCCAATCTATTCACTTCGGCAGGCCAAGAACGGCTTTTAGCGCCAGGAGCGCGGAAACCCATTACAATAAACTTTATTTAACGAACGTGGAATTCCCGTCGGGTGTATTCTCTTCATGCAGATTATTTAAAAATAGACGTCGTTACGCAACGCAACGATTTATTTCGAAGGAGTTTCTGCTCGTGAGCCTCGCGTCGTGAAATGATGTTTGTGTTTCTTCGCATTCGTGGGTATTTTCAACGTCTTTTTTTTTTGGTTTTTCTTCTTCGCGACCCGCTTTGACGCGATGTAAATTACGGGAAACGCGGTAATGAGAGTCCACTTAAAGAAGGAACCCTCTTGTTGGGTACCACTATCCAACCTGACTTAATCGACTACACGGGCACCCTCGCCCGTCCTTCCGCAAGTCCGCACTTAACGTCTTCGTCACGCATCGAGGAGCGCTGACCAACTGTTGCGTCTTTCCTGAATCCCGATATCGAAGTTTTGGGCGGACGTGAGAACGTTTACCGGCTTCGAGGGACCGTTTAGACAATAATCGAAGCCTAACCCGTTAAGCGTCGAGCGAATTCCACCGTAGGGGATTAAGGTGAAGCGAAACCCCCTTCAAACTAGTCGATTCGAATACAACACATTTTGTTGAGGGTGGTAGACCAAACTGTCCGAAGCTTTGACACATCACTCCTGATCATCTAAGAATTATCCTGACACATTCAAAATTTCGATTTAAAAAAAAAATTTTTTAACTCAACCCAGACCAGAACCAAAATGGCGTTGAGCTCTCATATTTCGATCAATATACAATTATCGAAGGCTCTGATATGAGAATCGAAAGGGTCAGGACAATTTTACGACAATTTAGAACATTCTGGTAATCTATAAACTCGGATTTTGAATGGGATAAAGGCAAAAAAATGTTGTATGCGCTTCTATGCTAAAATGATGGGAATACGAGGTCTCGGAGAGAAAATTTAATTGACCTGGAAATCACAGATGGCACAGGTGGTCCCTCTGCAGTCAATTAGGGCCCCAGAAAGCATGAATCCAGAGGATTTCTGGAGTTTTACTTCGATTTCTTTATAATTATTGTACAAAAACGACAGGTAGAGTATGCCATTTTGTACAATACCCAATATAATTCGACACAGCTGTCAATATAAAAACGAACGTCGGCAACGCAGGCATTTAGAAAAATCTTCGTTATCGACGTCGACCACGTTCCTCGACGTGTTTCACTTGACCTTAAGGTTTCCAACGAGAAACGTTCTCCAACGTCGAGGGACGCGCTCGGCGCGGCGGCCATCTTGGAAGAGAGTCCGCCGCGGCGGGCGAGATTCTTTCAGCACAATTGTCGGTGGCGAAAAGTCGCCAGCAAAGCTGATCGGCAAGGTTTACATTACGAAACGAATCAGAGAGTCTCGTCGGTGCTCTTTCAGTCTTAATTCCGGCTCGTTAACGCTAACCAAGTTCGAAGAAGGGCGGCTCAAATTAAGTCGCCCTTACACTTTAAACCGCTGCTTTTGAGCGTCTTAAATAGTCGAGAAAGAACCTCTCGGCGCGTCCCGAAGTTCCTCGAACGACCCAAGGTGAATTCATCGCGATGAAGGCATCGGCCAAGAGGGTGCAATCGTAATTCTCGCTCTTTAATTTGAATACATTTCCGCGGAAGGCACGGTTTTACGCTCGGGCCACGTAGACGTACTGAAACGGCGATAGCTGAAGGGGACACGACGGTGGTTCAAGTTAAAGGCGAATGGTGTCAGGTTTTTTTTCGTGTGGTTTCGACCGACAGGGTCGCACGGTGTTGGGTATACACCGGACGGTGTTCGCTCGTTTGGAACACGGTTTTACGAGGTTCGCAACCGACGAGTACTCCGAGCTCGGATTTCGTTGCTGCCGATGTGCGCCCTTCCTCGACTTCTGGTGATCTCTCGACTTTCGATAAACGAAGGGTCGAAAACCGGCGGAAAGGTGAGGAATTATTTCCCACGTGTCCGCACGGTACATCGTAATTAAGTCAAGGCAAGAGCATAGGCATACCCGGTACTAAATCTTTCCCATTCAGGGCGACGAAAGGGACACATCTCACGTGAGATATTGATGTCGGACCGATTCCGTAAGACGCGGAATAAAAAGCCTCCCATCAGCTGCTGCTCGTTAAAAAGCAACAGTCCCCAACGCACGCGGTCCTATACGCGTCATGTCGTAGGAAATGCGCGCGTATGGGACGCGTGTACGTACATGCATCTCTAATTGGTGTGACGTCATGGGGCAGCTTCCGAACTCTAGTTCCCAGGATTTGTTTAAGCTGAAAAATTAGTGGAGTCTGACCCAATGTACGCGCCGGCTCTTTTCTGCTGCGCACTTTGATGCGAGTAACCGCTGGCACAAGAACGAGACGAGGCTCGTTTTGTTACCTCGATCGTGAGAAAAATCTCGCCTTCGAGAAGAATAGTACTGGATGTGCGATTTAAGGACGCGTCATTATCCGCATGCAGATTTCGCAGATATGCCCCAATTTTAATGCGTAGTTTGACTCCGTCTCGACCGCGGTAAAAACGTTTCCCGGCAATTCCTGGCGTGCTCTGACTCCAGTTTAAAGAAGTCAAGGAATTACCGATTAATAAATCTCTCCAGTAATAACTCTGTATTTCTGTCCGCGCGTTCTTTGTATCTACGCAGCGTATCTATTTGACAACACTGTTTGATTTCATGAGCAGAATGACCGAACACTTATCACGATTATCGCCCGTGGGCGCTAACCCCAATGCGGTATAATGGCTCCGTAAGTGCAGCGAGACGAGCCGTGGAGTTTTGCGATTGTTAATTCCGCACGCGGCCGGAATTTTCCGGAGAGGCATGGAGCGATCATCGATGGATTTTCAGGTGAATCCTTAGCAAGCCCATGGGCGGCGCCGAGAGGATGTGGCCAGCAGGAAGTTCATTGTGCACGGTTCGTGTATAGTGTTGCAGGCCGAGGCGTGGGTACCTGTATTCGCGGTGATTTCAGAGGCGAATTTGTCAAGGCTGAGAGGAGAGGACGCACGGGACGACGGTCTGGAAAAATCTGTAGGTCGGGTCGAACGACGTAGTTGGGATAGACGGACTCGGGAGATCGGGCGTTATGCAAGCCTCGCGGGTCATCCTAAGCATCACCCCGAGATACGATAACGACTTTATTACTCGTATTTACTATTTTCAACGGGCGCCACTATTGCGCCCATACGAGAACGAGATTCTATCTTTGGCTTTTCCATAAATTACGCACGTCGGGCTCCCTCCACCCGCGACGGCCCTATTTCGACGGGCGCTCACGGTTCTTATTTTCTTTATCTCGGGCGACTTGCCTTCGCGCGATCCCCCTTATACCCCCGACGGCCGAATTATCGCCGAAAGGAGAAGAATCGACGATACCACTCCGACGGCGATACGATTTTCGCATTTTTTTCCCGCCTTTTTTCTTCCCCTCCATCTACGCATTATCAACGATACGGCGGTAATTGATATGACTCCACGATTTATCTGCCACGGTCCAGTGGCCCCGATCGTCCGGATTCCTCTCTCTCGAGTGTTGATTTTCGGGAGGCAGATGCGAGCTGCTTATTAAAAATGGTTCGAGACTCGCGGGGTCGCCCGTTAAGATTGCCCGAGGTCCCGGCAGATATACCAGAGATTCCTCCGGCAATTTTGCAAGAAACCTTGCCGAACCTCGCCGCTTCCTTATCGGGGGAATCTGGAGTCTTACCTAACGCTCGGGACCTCGCAATTGCTCGGACAGTTGTACCTCCATTGAGCTTACGTAAATAATCGCACGTGGGTCAGGACTGTTCGTCGTTGCGAGGTGTTTTGACTAAACTTGCCGCGCTCGACGTCGCGCGATCTCCTCGTAATCGATTTCTTATCGCGGTGCATTTTTTGGCACGCATGGGTTTAAAAATTCTCGGATTGGCGGATCATCTTGGGTCAGGGGAGTGCGAAACCTTGTTTATTATTGATGCGGTCGATACGATCTGTTGGCGCCGAGAGCGGGGATTTTTACGGGTGCAGCTAACTCTTGGCGATATCGCGATCGAGAGTTATCGAAAGGAAACGCGAATTTGCGAGCGAAAAGCCAGGTGGCTCCGGAGCCAGCAATGGCGACCCCCGTCGGCGGGTCTGCGGTTACGGAGAGCGACGATGCGTCGTCGCGTAGTTAAGTTAATTAATGAATGGTACAGTCGGGACCAAGAGCCGAGTTAAATTGATACGTCCTTCGTGTGCAGCCATTTTCGTGCCACGCTCGGTTCACTCGGGAAGCAGCGCTCCAGAGGCCCGAAAGTGAATATCTCGAAACCTAGAGAGACGATCTCGATTCCTCCGCTCGTCTTTCCGAGCACACGCGAGATGCGGCTATCGCGAGGGCGTCAATTTGTTATAAATAATTTTTTACCTGAAACTTCTGTCATGATAGGGTAAATTCGGTTCGCTCGGGAAGCAGTGCTCCAGAGGCCCGAAAGTGAAAATCTCGAAACCAAGCGAGACGATCTTGATTTCTTCGTTCATTTTTCTGAGCACACGTGAGATGCGGCTATCGCGAAGGCGTTAATTTGTTCTAAACAATTTTTACCTGAAACTTCTGGCATGATAGGGTAAATTCGGTTCGCTCGAGAACCAGCACTCCAGGGGCCCGAAAGTGAACATCTCGAAACCAAGAGAGACGATCTCGATTTCTCCGTTCGTCTTTCTGAGCACACGCGAGATGCGGCTATCGCAAGGGCGTTAATTTGTTCTAAACAATTTTTACCTGAAACTTCTGTCATGATAGGGTAAATTCGGTTCGCTCGGGAAGCAACACTCCAGAGGCCCGAAAGTGAACATCTCGAAACCAAGAGAGACAATTTCGATTCCTCCGCTCGTCTTTCTGAGCACATGCGAGATGCGGCTATCGTGAGGGTGTTAACTTGTTCTAAACGATTTTTTATTTAATACTTCTGTCATGATAGGGTAAATTCGAAACGTGGGAAGGTAGCGTGAGAGCAAAACTGAAACAGGGGAACATTCGTTTGGATAGTGAGATACTTTTTCTCTCTTTGAATATCAAATCACGGTTACAAGTTGTAGATGAAGCATTAGTTGCTAGAGAAGCGTCACTTCTGTCGCGTGATTTTTAACATTTTCCTTTATTTTTTGGTATCCTCTGATGGGCCGTTTTTTCCCGTTTGTTTGCAAAGAACACGAATCTCGTCGTTGGGAGATGATGCTAGGCCGGGTTTCTCTGCTGCGCGAGAAACGCCACGCCTTGGATGCTAAAGTCACGCCGAACGTAATGAACGCGGTGAAGGAAGTTTTTCCCGGAGAAAATGGCGCGAAATGCTGTTTCGTTAACGGGAATGCCGGAAGCGGTCTCTGGAAATGGAGTAATGAGAATGTCGGAAGTCTGCACGTCTTGAGGTCGCGAAATTAATTCGGAGCAACGCGAAGCTCTGGCGCCGGTTCAAGCGTGCGGATCGAGGGATCGATCGTTAAGTGCATGAATTGAAACAACCTCATTGAGAATAATGCGATGATAGACTCTCCGTGCATTGAGCAGGTTGTCTCTATGGCGTCCTCGAATGGTCTCTCTCGTTATCGGCGATGAGATTCGAATTCGGTTAGCGGTCCCTCGTATTTACAGGTGAGCGGATAACAAGATTCACTCTTCTCCCCGCGGAGGGCGAGATCTAAACGCACGACACAACAGCGAGATAAGTTGCCATAAATTGAAATAATATCTCAATAAATATGTCCCGGCCTTTTGTGTCGAAAGGTCATCGGCCATCCCGAGGCTCGTCGGCTTTTCTTTTTGCGAAACTTTTTTCTCGCACTTCGTTCGCGTCATTGGCGGGAGATTGTTTCGCGGAGTACAACAACAGGGTCCCGAAGCTTCATTGGGAATATTGTTAGCCGGCGATAAACCGTTGTGTGTGCAAATTGTATATCGAATTCGAAGTGGATTACGCTAAGAGATGCGGCCATACCTGGTTGAGATCAAGGTCGGGACACCTCGACGCGCACTCCTCTTGCAAGCTCCCAGGGGGTGTTCGCTCCTCGAGATCTTCCGGTAGCAGGCTGATAACGCTTCCCGCCAACACCAACACCTTCAGCAACGCATATAACACCTTTCCTAACATAATATCCACCCCCTACATACACCCTCGTGCTGCTTCTCCGCGCCGAAGTTCTCTCAAGAGCAGATCATCCCTCCCTCTCCACCTTTCCGACCCGCGACTTCATTTACAAAAGAACGATCCGGCCATCAATCTATCGCCGACTTCACCCCACATGACCTCCCAAGCTCACTTTCGGCGGTCATCGACGACGAGAAACTGCACTCGATGCTTCCTCCAGGTCCTTTTTCGAGGGCAAAACTTGCGTCGGTCGAGTTTCTCTTCTCCGGTGGATCCCCGAGTACAATGGAACCACAAAAATCCGCTTCTGACGTTACAGTCGCTCGCATTGGCCGGTGTTTGGTCGATCTCGTCAACCGGCGACTTCCATCATAGATGTCACGTGAATCCTGGGATCTCTTCCTTTCCGTTTAACCCTTTTTTCAACGTAATTCGCACGGTTTTCACTGATGATTGCTTGACGATGACGGATGAATATGATGTGATAATCGAGTTTTGAAAGGCACGTCGGGATGCGGCATCGCGATTAATACGAAGAGTTAATTTTCAGTGCCATCGGATCGGTGGACGGAGCGACCGGATGGCTGGTGGTGGCAGGCGAGCATAAGAGCAACTGACTCCGAATGGCCACTAGACGGAGAGAGCTCGCTCCCACCACGGACCCTTATCTCTTTCGCTCCCCTTAAACAGCCCTCGAGTGCGGTACTTCATTCGTAGCGCGCTACAGAGCGAAACGATTCCGAGCTCCGTTCGTGGCTCCCGTTGACCGATGGTCAATTGGCAGATTGACCCGTTCTTACTATACTCGTAAACTTTCATTCATCCGTTCGCACGTGCCGCGCTCGACTACGCGAAGGGCCGAGACCGGCGACTCCTCCGGAGGTATCTCTTCGTGCCTTCCATGTCTAGCAAAGTGGCCGTCGTCTGGAAAAAATCGTCTTTAAGTATTTATAAGAAGGATCGGGAAAAAGAGACTCTTTTAGGTATAATTAAACCGAGGGAAATCGTGAAAAATCTCGATCACGCTACCTGTCGATCGGCGATCCAAGGACGGATTTCTCCCTTTTTGGGGTGATTCTACATTTCTATCCGTTCATCCCGCTATGGATCCTTAAAATGTCGGCGAGTCTTGAACGCGGAGTGTCGCTTGTTGCGCGCCAAGGAAGATCATCTCGAGAGAGGGTGACCTCTCTTTTCTTTGCCGGCCTACCCATTGTCACGAGACACAAAGTAAATCCGAAAGAGATCTTCAAATGCACCGTTCCGTCTCGTCTCCGAGAAAGTACCTTACGTTTGCTTTAGCTCTTGTGTACACGATACCTGCCACTACGTGTTAACTTTGACCACCCATTGATTACTTTGCCTTCGCCGAGGAGTTTTCGGAAAACCTTCGAATTCGTTGGAATTCTCCTACGCCTTGAACTCTTTCTTCGTTTCGTCTGACCGAAAATAGAATTTCAGTCAGATAAAGAAAATTATTCAACGATCGTATTGAGGCTACAATTTGTCAGACGATTACAGCGTGGAAATGGTTACTTCGATTCTAAGCTGAAAGTATTGCCTTTTCGTGAGTATTTTTTAGAATGTTCCGCCCGATGGCAGGGACGGCGCGAAAAGCGCTGATCGTTTAATCCTTAAACGGTTTGGACTGGTTACTTTTCGCAAATCGAGATCGACACGTTATGAAACGATCATAGCGCGTTCAATCACGATCTCAATGGCGGTTACAGGTTACCTAGAGCTTCCTGCGGAAATGGTCAATATACTCCTCCGACCTCTAACTCACTCGGCTGTTCGCTCGCTCACTCGCTCGCCCGGGTCACTCCTGCCCGGCATACCCCATCCCCATACGATCGCCCTACCTCTCGCCACACACTCGTTTAGGACCATCATCGAGATCTATGTCGACGCAAACGTTACATCCTTGCCGTGTCCTGCACTCTGTAATTTTCTTATCGCCCGGGATTCCAATTTTCCTTCATCCAACTGAGGATAAATGTCTTCGTTAAAAAGACGCTTGCTATTAGAATTTTTTTTACATTTAAAGAAGTGAAGATCTTAACTGAAGGACGCGTAACGATGGGTCAAGAAACCGCAGCGGGTAGAATGTGAACTAGAAAGTACCCCTGACCCGGTGTTAAATCATCAAGAACAGGGTGGAGTTTGAAGGCACTTAAGCCAATTAAAATTATCGGAGAACGGACATTTATACCACTTGAACATATTATTTACTTTCGGACTGCGTCCAGTTGTCTATATTGGATGCTCTTATGCGGGTTGATACAAGGGACCATTTGCAAGTTGTGTTTGAATTTCCCGGGCTTTGGACTCGTAAGAAACGAAATGTGGATCTGTGTGGATTTTGAGTGGCGACATCTTACAGGGAAGAGGGCAATTGTGCCTATCTTGAAGCGCTACTCGAGGAAATATTCAGGTAGGTCCATGTTTTCATCGAAGAGCAATCTTCTACGGTGATTCTACGATTGTATCAGAGATGAGTTGGGAGATTGCTCACGGGCAGGGTCGCGCGATCGCACCGTGTGCTGCCCTCTGATTTCGTACGTTAGCTTTCACCGTTTTTTGCCCCCAAGGGCGGCGCAACGAATTTCTGGTAGGGGCTCGCGCAATCGCGATGGCTGTGCCATCTACCAGTTG